TTTTTTTTTTCCATGGCATTGTCTGCCAAGGTAGGGGCCGTAGCGCACAATGAAGGCGGCCGTGGTAGCAACAGCTCTGCCAAGGGACCCTCCCAAGGGCTCCCGTTTCCCCAGCACGGCCTGATGTCCTTGTAAAACGGCATCGTTTTCATTGCACGAGTCGTCTACAGAGCAGATGTTTAACGGGGAGCCGGGGGGCCCTGAAGCCAGGTCGGAGAGGCCTGGCACCTGCCCTGGGCTGCCGGCCGTGCCCCGCGCCTTGGGAAGGGGCGCGCTGGGCGCTCACGGAATTGCTTTCCATGGGAGGATTTCAAATATTGCACGCTTTTTTGGGGCCTCTTGGAGAGCTGGGCAGGCGGCTGCAGCCAAGTATTTTTATGATAATAGTGCCCTATTCTGTATGACACTACCACTTTATTCTTGGAGTCAGAAACTAAGGACAAAAATATGGTATTAAATATTTATTATACTTGTTGTTAAAATATATTTGTATTKAGTTTCAGAGCTGCTCCCCTGATGTGTGTAGTGACCAGTGTTCCAGTAAATACAAAAGCCACGAAGGGTGTTTGACTCACCTGTAGTGCAGCCCACACACACGTGTGTCCTGGGGTTTTGCCGGGGCCGGGAGCTGGTCAAGCTCCATGTGGCTTTTAAAGCAGTCGCTGAAGACTTTCAAGTGACGCTTCTAGTCCTGCATCCTCTGTACAGATAGASACTCTTCACATTTTGTGATTGAGATGTAGTTTTCTATTTCATTATATGGTAGCGATTCATTTYGGTTTGCAGGAGTATCTTTCTTTTGAATAAAAACAAAGCAACGCTCCCACAAAACCGTGGTTGTCCTTTTCTCCTGTTGCCTGGAGCTCTGTGTGGTTACCCCTGGTCGAAGGGCTGCTGCAGGGACTCTGGTTCTTGTTACTTTCCCGCTGCTTCCGGTGCTGCCTCAGGAGCATTGCCTGCTAATTATAAACAATGTTGATGTCTACCATATGTTTGGGGGGAAAACACGGGATTCCTGCTGTCCCACTCAAGTCAATGTCTAGTTTACAAGTATTTGTCAATCTGTAATGGAAACATTGAGTCCTTTGTCATGTAACTTCATAATAAATTCTTGTTTTCAATCTGCAAATAAATTAAGGTTTATATTAATTTCAGCTTCTAAATATATAGTCAAATCCATTTTTCATTTAAATTTGCAGAATCCAGGATCCAGAGCTCAAGCTTGTGTCCATAACAGATATTCCAGTGTAAATGGTAAGTAAGATCAATCTGTTGTAAAATGAGATCATTAAAATCTTTGTGTGTTCTTCTTAGATCTGATGAATACAGTGTCTTGGATAATGTCCTTGCCACTAGTGTTGTACAAATGTATTTAAACTGTAATTCAAACTCATGCGTTGTTCATCTTGGGTGTGCTACTTGGGTTTTGTCTTGTGTCTTTCCAAAATCTTGAGAAGTTAGTGTACCAAAACCAAAGCTTCACATATTTAAGTTACAGAATTTGGTTTAGACATCTCTAATTCATACTTAAGCTTACTAAAATGCTACACCTTGTGAATAAAGATATTGCTGTTTACAGTGTATTTTTAATGTATCAGAAAATGGCAAGACTGGCAGATGGAAGGCTGGCAGATTCTAATTTAAAGAAGGAAATAAGATTCTAGGTGATGAGGAAGAAAGAAAAAAATAGTGTCAAGGAAAATTGCTGCTGTTCTCATAGTGTGGAGAAACTTGTGCAGAGAAGAGAAATGAGAGAGTGAGCACCTAGAGTGAAAAGTAGAAAGATCCACTGGTGAAACTTTCTACCCTTTAGCCTAAATGAGAATGGGAGATTATAAAGTGAGGTTTTGCTCACAAGGGACTCTAAACTGGATAAGGAAGCAAGTGAAAATATGGAATATGGAGTATTATTTTCCCATTCTAGGTGAGAAGATGAGCTGCTGCATTTTGGACAAGCTGAAGTTTGGAAGGCGAGGACATAAAGAATCCATTAAGAAGGAAATTACAATAGTTAAGAGGAGATGAAGGTATGATGTAGTGCTTGACAGAAGCAGTGATTGAAGGGAGGTAGTTGTAGTAAGCACACAAGAATTTAGAGTAAAGCTAAACTCTTGTGGAATTGGCAGAATTACATTTGAGAGAGATTTCATGAAGGATAAATGTTGACCAGACCAAATAATGCAAAAAAAAAAAAAAAAAAATTGAAAGAATAAGATGAATAGATTTGATTCTAACCTAATGAGATGTTTTGATCATCAAATGATACGTATGGCTAAACATCAGAAAATAAATGCCCCTTCTTAAGGGAGAGAGTCAGGATGAACACAAAATACGTAGGTAAAAGGTGCTGCCGCTCACCTGTGTCTGGTGTTTATGAAAATGTTGCTTTCCTTCCGATCAGTGTGGGTTGTTGGTTTTCTTTATGCCAACATATTTTTTTGCTCTATGCAAGTATGTTACTTATATATAAGATGCTCCAGGCAGCAGGTCACAAGCTTGTCTTTATCACCTCTGAAACATGTGCCCTTCTCTGAAACATATCTTTGTATATAATGGTGGAATGTAATAGCCTTTATTCTGAGGGGGTGGGAGACGTGCTGCGGCTATTGCAGGTAGTTGCTCCAGCTGGTTTAGTTTGTGGATTGCAGAAGAGATTTAGAAATGTATTTCTTTTTGTTTCCCTATAGTTGTAGTGATATTATATTGATCTGACCTTTGGCACTGAAATGTTGGAGGGTCTGAGCCACACACAGTTGTGGCCAAAGCTGTTATGTGTGTTGTTATGTGGATGCAGAACTTGACTGTTCTCTTACGTAAATGTTATAAAGGGAACAAGAAGTACTAATCTTGCATCCCAGAGGAAAGTTTGTGTTTGCTCCACGCTGCCAACAGTCACACTCATCAGTGCAGCTGTTTCTTTTGACTTTGGCTTTTGACTCAGCTCCTCCTGGCCTGGAGTAGTCCACTCTCTTTGCTCCTGCTATCTTTTTAGTGAGTTTTTATAAAGAACTGCAGACTTGAGTGCCATGACTTTTCATCGCAGAAATCATTACTTTCAATGCTAGTTTTTGTGCGTGTTGGCTTTCTCAGTAGAATTAGCTGGGGAAGAAAGTGTGTCATTTTATTCTTCAGTAGAATTAGCTGGGGAAGAAAGTGTGTCATTTTATTCTTCAGTAGAATTAGCTGGGGAAGAAAGTGTGTCATTTTATTCTTCTCTTCATTGATGTTCTTTTTCCGGCATGTGTCCACGAGGTTTTACAAGCTCTGTGGTTTCTGTCTTGCTTCACCATGAGCTCTAACTAAGTAAAATTTTAGGAGCTGAACTTGTGGTTCTTGTTGGTGTCACAAAACTGTGATGAACAGAAAACTTCTGTGTGATGCTTTGAACACAGCATTTCAGTTGACCTATTGCCATGTAGAATGGGATGGAAGAAGCCACCTCCCAAATTGCATCATGTTGCTTATTTGTGGTCACTTTAAGCTCTGATGCGAGCTGGAACTGTTCCAGGTGACTGCCATTTATGCTGTTTTGGCTGTGTGTTGCAAGAGAGGGAAGAAAGTTGATCTCACTCTGTTGTTGCCTGTGGTGACAGCCTGCACAGGCAAGCTATAGAGTTCTGCAGAAAGGTAAACACAAGGTCTCTTTCTGTAAATGTGGTGGAAAAGGAAATGTGGAAGGGCATGTAAAAACCTGAGACTTATTTTCTCCTCTATCCTAAATTAAAGATGTCTGGAAACTACTGAAATTTAACGTATACCATGTATGTTTGGGAAGGCCTGAGGCTGAAAAGGTTAGAAAACTCTAGCAAAGTGTCATTCTGGTGTATCATGTAGCATCATTAGAACCTTCTGCAYGTAAGGGCAAAACAGCTTAGAGCTGCTGGCCGTGGACATGTTGTCTGCTGAAACCAAAAAGTGAGATTCTTCGAGCGTGCAAACTGCTTCAGACTGCCCTGTGCCTGCCCTTGTGTGAAGAGGCTGAGGTGTAGGGTTTCATAGCTGTGTGTCTGCAAATGTTGTGGCTCCTCTGTTCTGGTGCTGCTCTGCCTTCCTTCCCTCTYGCATTGCTGTAAAGCAGAGGAAAAGGACTCCCCTTCTGTGAAATTAATAGTTAACTGAGATCAAAGTAAATCCTTTTTCTTCTCTGATGGCATAACCTCTCTTATTCACTAGTTCTGCCTTTGCTGCCTCACTATTCATTAGATTGTTCATCCTTCCTTTTTGCCACTCATCTTTTACTTCACTTTTCCCAGAATGTTAAACAGGAAGCAGTTAACAGCTGAGGGCTTTTCTTCATTCTGTTATTGGAAGGACTTAGCAGGCCCCGTGTATAAGTTAATACTGAAGCATCCAGCTGAAAGAGGAGAGGAAGAAAGTCCAAGAAACGGACTCCAGCTTCCAAGCTTTGATTTTCGTATAGCTATGACCATATGCTTTAGATGATAACTTYGCATGTTGTTAACCCAGGTATTAACCAGAAGTTGGATGCCTCTTTTTTTTCAAACCACGTGTGCATCTCCTGTTACAGGTTGCTGGATTAGAGTACTGATGGCTTGTGTGTCATGGAACTGATGAAATATACTTGATTAATTTTAAGGCAAAAGAAAAAAATCAAGCTTACATATTGATGAAATTTATATGGTCTATGGCTTTTGTTTGCTTAATCCTATAGTATGAGTTAATTGCTTGTGGAAGATCAGGAACATTTGTGTACTTACAACTTGAAAACCAGGTGCAACAAAGAACTTCAGAATTCCCTTTTTTAACTGATAGTTTATTGATCAAAAAGAAATAATCAGCTTATAATGGAAGAAAATAGTTTGAGAAGGTGAAAGCTTGATTTATCTTACAYGAATGTGTGAAGTTATCTTTTCTTTGAGGTCTTAAAGGGCTCTAGCATAGAACAGCTTTTATGTTGAAGAATAAAGCAGTTGAAGAGCAAGCGTCTGTTCCTCTGTCAGGTTTTATTGTTGTTTTGAAACTGTGCAGCTGAGTAACTCTGTGCCACTGTGCTCTTTAATTACGAATTAAATCAATGAGTGAATGTTTACAGCTTTTGTCCACTCTTCAGGCCCATGTGTTTGGTGTGTCTCAAATTACCCCTGGCTAACAGCAGYCATAGGGAGATACCTTCATTTGTGTTCTCCCTGACTTGGTGGCACCTACGTGCCCTCTCTCCCACTGCTCTAAGATAGCTTCAAAGCAAGGTGGCCCAAAAAGCTACATGGATATTAGTGTTAYGGAGCTTTCTGTCTGTCTTATGGGCACAGATTTTGTTTCCATGTGGGACAGATGAACTTTGTGCTTTGTGGGCTGAAGTTAGCATATGAAAAAGTTGCATGGTAGCTTCAGGGAATTGAGCTGTTCATTTTGAGAGCTGTGAATTCAGAAGCTGATTTATTATTTATTTTTTAATCAACATATATGGTGAAAGGTTTTTTCTTTCTTTTATTTTTGCAGTACGTCAGAGATGTCTATTGTTATTTGCTCTATTGTTTGTGCCTGGACTTGCAAGCTGCTACAGTTTTGAGTGTAGCTGCCCATCTGCTTCTTGGTTATTTATAGGCAGATCTATAGAGTTTCTTACAATCTCTCAAGTCTTCAAAAAACTTACTGAATTAAACATCATGCTACCCTTGTAAAGGGAGAATTAATATATAACAGCTCCATTTTACAGATGGGGAGATCGAATGAAGACTAAACGGGATAATTGGCTTGCTGAAAGCCATATGTATATTTCATAGTGGAACAAGAAATGGAAACCAGCTTTTTTCTGCTCCTGTATTTAAAAGAACAGCTATGTTCTCTTGCTTGATATATGATGAGAGAATGAAGAAATTACTCATTCTTTGAACCTTACAGTGCTTGTTTGTGCACAGACTAATCCATTTAAAGATCCTGCTCCGTGTGCTGAGAGTATTAAATGTTTTTGGATCCAAAGAATTTGCGTAATCATTTTTATCTTAATTCTCTTTGAGCCTGGGTTCATTTTGGTTGTTAATGCTTTTTGTGGAGTGGTTCCAACTGGATCACTTAGGAAGAAAACATTAACTGCAGGGCCAGGTTCTCCCTATGCTCTTCAGGGCATCTCACAGTTGATCCTGTAGTCAGTTCCGTGTCCTTCAGCTTYGTTCTTCCTTTTCTTTCGAAAGGTGTCTGAGCTTCTCCCCTCTATTTGCTATGAGGCTCAAGATTTCTAGTAGCAAAATCAGATAATATGCTTTTAGTTATCAGAAACAATATGTGTAGGGTAATGTTTTTTTCCTTAAGAATTTTAAACTTTCTTTGACAATCTTGTGGAACCTAAAAATCAGAAGGGAGAAGACCTGCCTAGCCATGATGTGATTCTACAGTGGAATGCAGCAAGAAACAGTATTTGCATTTTATCTGTTCTCTGAATTTGTAGCTGACTTGTTAATTTGTTTACAGTTGCCTATTCCCACATATTTCTATCATGTTTATGTATTTAAGAGAAATATCTTTATGACTAGTATTAGTTTATGCTTGGGGTAAGGGAAGAGTTTTTACTTTCACTGTGTCTTTCTGCAACGCATTTGGAACACCTTCCAAGTGCTTAGGTTTTAAATACATATATTCTGTGTGGGTTTAGTCTTGCAACATTTCTCGGGGAAAAAAAAGGATTAGTGAAGAGCTATATTGATTTTATAAAGTCTGAAAAAAGGTCATTTAAGTGATTTATTTTTTATATGGCTCTTCAGTGAATTTCTTTTATTTAGCATGTTTCCTGTTAACACAAGTTTTATAATTTGACATATGGTATTTTAATTGCTGGAGTAAACTGAAGGTGGGCACTCAGCACTCCAGGTTGTTTCTGGTTTCCAGAAAAGCAATTAAACCTCTTTAACTTAGCTTCATGCCTGTAGAATTTGAGCATGTTATAAATACAGCATACTCTGTAGTGTGTTTTGAAAGTGATAAAATTCAGCTACTATTTTATAAGTACTTAAGTTTCCTTGAGTGAAATCTGTATTTTTGAGTGTTCCTGCTTTTCTTCTGTAGCTCTTTTTCTTTTCTCTTTAATGGGTCGAAATGCTTTCAYTTATTGATGAGTAAACATTGGTTCTGTTCCCTTCAGCTAAACTGTGATGCCATATAGCTGTTCATTATTCTTTCCTAATTTTAAATTGAGAGCTTGTCTTCCTCTGAACAATGTGACTTTGCACATTGCTTATAGGACTAAATATGCCTATTTTTTTAGTAGTGTACTTTTGTGAACTACCTTTGACAGYTCCCAGCAGACAGTAAAGGCCAGCTTGCTTGAAATTGTTTATTTACTAATAGAGAAGTAGCATTTAATTTTACTCGTTCTGATATTCTCTGGAGTGTTGAAGATAGAGAAGGGTATTAAACCTCTTTTTATTCTGGAGATTTTCTGGCATGTTCTTATAACTTGCTCTGATGAGAGTTTCTTTGTAGACAATGCATTAAAACTTTTACAAAAGCAAAAAAGGAAATGAAAAATTTAGGAGTTTCTGGAACAAAGACTAGGTGGTTGGAATCAACAGTTACTGTTCTGACTCAGTTCCCTCCACTCTCTGCGGGCAGAATGCTTCCTTTGGTTCCAGGAAATATTGAACAAAAGACCTATTTTAATCGATGGACAGCAGTCTTCTACTGTGGCAGAAAGCCAGGCAGTGCATTAATATTAAATAACCTGGTATTTTAACAGCAGCAAAGAAATAAGTGCTTCCTAGAGTCAGTAAGTTTATAAAAACTTCTGTTCCTTATGTGAAGGTATGAAGATAATGAAGTGTGTAAGTTTGTATTCTCTTCATTGATTATACTGAGGAATCATTTATAGTAATTTTGAAATATATCTTGAGGAGAGGGTAAAATCATTACTAGGTTTGTCTTCTGCATATTAACCTTGGCAATCCTCTCCTGAGTGACTTCTGTGGGGTAGTTCAAGTGTGGTTGAACAGTTGTGTGGTTTCTTGGAAGAACTGAAATTGCCCTTTTTTTCCTCCTGTAACTTACACGGTTGCCCAAAACAGCAGTACTGAGGTCTTGGTGGGAGGGGTGGGGATGAGCTGTGCAAAGCATTGGGCTGAGGAAGAGGAGGGACAGTATAAAGCTGTTGAAATGTTATTTCTGTGTTTCACAAAAAATGATTATTAGACTTTTGGGTCATAGTAAAACTCAGTGTTTTCAACAAGGWAGGGAATAGCTTTTATTTCCCCCCCTCAGGCTCTCTATCTGAAGTTCTTTTTTTTTCTAGAACATTTACAGTTTTGATTCCATTACCCTTTGATTCCATTACCCTTTCCTCCCCTACAGAAGAATATAGTGCTTGTACATGTAAATACTACTTTAGCGTTCACATAGAGAAGTCCAGTTCCCGGTCTGAAACACTATGCATGGCATTAAATACGTGTATATAATTGATCTGTTTTTTTCGTTGTTGTGGCTATGGTTATCAGTGTATCTCTGCACATAAAAATTCAATTTTTATGGATTGATCCATGCAAGTATGAGAAAATAGGTTGCTTTGTAAAGGAAAGTGAAGAATAGGATCCTGCAAGATAGCTATTCCTGTTTGTGGTGACCTCAGGTTCCTCCCTTTCTCCCTCAAGGCTGACAAGTGCCTGCTTCTACCTTTCAGGTCTGGTGTTTGCAAATCTGACCTGCATTTACCTTGGCCAGGGCAGCAGTGGTTTGTAGGGTCAGGGTTCCTGGCCTAGTGACTGCTCCACATGAGTCCAGCATGTAAGGGTTTAAACAGTCTACCAAAGAACGCTGACCTGAATCCAGAATTTAACTCTCCCGCTGGGCTTCCCTCAACCTGATGGTTTCTAAGTCTTTGCATGCCACAGTTAGGGTGTTTATGTGGTTAAGTATCTTGTGATAGCTGAGCAGAGGACAGTGCTAGGATCATCAAGTGTGTGTTCTCCTCRTGCTGACGTTACTGGCTTCTGCTCTCATGAGGAGCCTCCTGCTCGTGACTCATAAATCCATCTCTTCACACCCCATGCTGCCCCTTAATGCTGCCAGGGGCGCTGGGTTTTCACTTGAGATGCCAACACTGCACAAGTGACCAAGGCTCCCTCTGCCGACACGCACAAATCCCAGGAACTGATTCCTGCCGAAACGCAGCTCTCCTTTTGTGGAAATGGTGCAGGGAGCCCTTCTCTTGCGCTAATGCAGTACTCGGAGTGGCCTCCTAGGGTGTAGCTTTATAAAGCCCTTGAGCTCTTGGCATGCTCATCTTCCACCCATTTCTGCAAGCAGTAAATTTCCAAAGTAACGGACAGTTTTCCTTGGCGCAGTCAGACATCTTGACGTTGTTTTATCCGAGTAACAGTAAATCCCTCTGTTTGAAAGCTAGGCCCGGGATGTTAGTTTGATGATCCATTCTGATGACYGTGTCCCACGCTGTTGTGCATCCGGAGCGCTGGCCTGAGCACACCTTCCAGAGCGGGGCTTGCTGCTGCCCTGCTGCCCCGACCAAAATCCATTGCACCAGAGGCCTTCTTAAACTCTACACCTATTTTTCTGGCATCTCTCTGGCATTCTTGAAAATCCTCAATCCACAGTTAGATTTTGTGTAGTCTCCCGATGGAACCTGAGGAGCAGGGCACGTGTTTTTCTGCAGATGGTGACAGCTCGTCCTGCCAAGCTGTCTGCTGCCTTCTCTGACCCAAACCAGGTACAGCACCTCGCTGCCAAGTGCAGCAATTGCAGCAGTTGATTATTCTGGTTGCTCGCTAAGTATAATATTCACTCTGAACTAATGTGCTCTGTTTTGTATATTTTTTCTTCTTGCTCTATGTTATTTTTGCTTGTGATCTTGCAGAAATCTATTCCTTGTACTTAATATTTATCGTATTAAATTATTTAAGTGTATTTTCTATATGTTTCCTTTAAATATGCTTTCTATGTAGCATGGCATAGAACACTATTTTTGTGAAAGTTTCTATTCTTTTGCTTACTTTTTCTGATTTACCTGTGGAAGTCTTGTACCTAAGATTCAGATGCAGAGTTGTCTACTGTTTTTTGCTACATTCTATGTCATAGCTTAATAATCTATTGATTATTTTTAATTGCTTTAAATGGCTTGACTCTTATTCCTTGAGTTAATTTATACTTGATAGAGTATCACATCTTATCTGTATTGCATTAGCGATAGTTCCAAATATCTCTGAGGCACTCGAAATTTCAGGTAACCATTTAACAAACGGTCGTCAGGAAGTCACTTCTGAAGTATTTCCTTTATAGAATTMTCAAGAATGTGTTGCAGCACTCGGAGTCCTTGTGTTTGCTTAAGCACTTTGTTCTGAAAAAGAGTAAATTGTCTTGATAGGTGTATCAAGTGTGACCAGTTATTCTTCAGTACTTGAAGTGCTACTTTATAATAGCTCTTAAGCACACACAGATCTAGTGGGGTGAGTGACTTCTGCTTCATTTGCGTGACATCTCGGGGCAGAAAAAAATAATGCTTGAGCTAAAGCAAGTTTCTGATACAGGAGTCTGGTGTTGGGCTTTTCTTGTGGCTGAGGAGACTCTCTGCACAGTCCTTCCACAGCTGAAGTTCTGCCAGTTTCCCGAGAGAAGGATTTATCTGCCTCCGCATCTCTCTTTTTTTGAGAGTTTGTATAATTGGAAAGCWGAAATTAGCTGAAAATTGTGCAGCACGTGGTTCGTGGTGCAGGAGCAGTGGGAGAGGGCAGATACCCAGGAGCAGAAGTGTATCGCTGGGGCAGCGTGGCACGCTGCCCTGCGCTGGGGTGAAAACTCAACCGGAGAAGGCTCCCGGGGCTGCCCCACGCTGCTCTGCCTCCGTGGGGTTTTCCTGTCCTCTGGCTTCCCTGGGAAGCGCTGGAGGTTAATCACGGTTAGCGAATCACGGGGATAATGTAATGAAAATGGGATGAGGCTAAGAAGGGATTTGGAGACAATGGGAGCAGAAGCGTTTCATGTATATGCTAARCCTTTTCTCCCTGTTAGGGTGGTTTGGGTTTTGTTTTTTTCTTTTCTCCTTTCACTGAAGACCTACTAATGGCAGGTTGATGACAGTGTCCTGACATAAATGCCTAAGTATTTAGCATGATGTATTTAAATAATTACTATATTCATAATAATACAACATAGGCTATGTGAAAGTGTAAAGAGTACTAATCTTACTTATTTTATATCTGAATAACCAATCAAACAGATAATCTGCCTGTAAATTGCTTACAGTTTAATGAGTTTTGAAATAGGGCTGTTACATAAATTATCCTCTTGTCTTTGCCTGAGACCATGCTATGCTTTTTTTTTTAAGCTGAGGAGAAAGAAAGGTTTAATTGTACATGGATTTACATTGAAAATGGBYTTTTTTTTTTTTTCCTCTCCAATTTTTACAACACCTTAAATTTGCTAAATGTTATGAGCTGGTTTCAATCATAGTGTGCTGTATTTCCTTCAAGAATACTGAAGAGTTTTGGCCAGTGCTCATTTTACTGAAATGAGTTAATTGATTTCCCATACTTGACAACTTTGACTTCTTGTGTTTCAGAGCAGTGTGGTGCAAACTATCTGAAGTAGAATGGAAGCTTCAGTAATATTACCCATTCTGAAGAAAAAATTGGCTTTTCTTTCAGGTACAGTTTCTGATTTCCTTAAATGGTTCCTGTCTGTGCAATTTGGGTGGAGATTTCAATTGCATTTTTTGTGCTTGCTGGATGTATTTAACAGAGCAATGTGGGATGTATTTAACAGAACTATATTGTAGCTTGGTGTGCTGTCATATTTCAAAAACATCTCTGAAACTTTTAATCTAGTAGCCAAGCTACTGCTGTTGGCATTTGGCAGACTGCTTTCACTGCAGCCTGTAACTCAATACAACAAAGCTGATACCRTGAAGTTTTACTCCACAAATAAAAAAAAATGATTTAGTAGGGCTCCAAGAAAAACCCTCGTGGTTTTTTAAGCATTTTTTGAAGTGTAAAAGTGGTTAACTGCAAGAGTTTCCCACGTTTTTTTCTTCCTTTTCACCACTCCATTCTTTTCCATGTGGATAGAAGCAGAACTAGCCATACGTTGCAAGGTTTTGGTTCTTATCGACTACTCTGCAATGTCACTCTGCAATTATTATTATTATTATTATGTTTGTTCAAACTTTGAGAATTAATTTCAGATTTGATTTTAACTCCCCGTGCCCCCTCTCCCCTCAAAGCCAAAGAAAGCCAAAGGGAGGACTAGGTAAGGATGGATGATGTTCTGCTGATTTCACTGCTGTCAGGTAGCTGTGCTGGCTCCTGGCACTTGAATGCTGAGTTTGGGGGAGGTAGGATGCTTCTCAGCTTCACAAAATGAGAAAGGTTTCTGTAATATTATTTTGATGTAGTTTATTTTAGCTAGAGATTATTTTATGTCTTCCATTCACTTGAGAAGTGAAACTTGTTCCTTTTTTGTTAATAGGAATTTTTTGATTTCTAAATTGCCTGAAACACAATTTTTTCAGTAATATCAACAGATGCGCAGTAGGGCTGATAAGCATTATACCTCAAGCAAATTCTGATTAATTAGAGTGCATTTGCTGTTTGGCAATTAAAGCTGTCTGATTCATTTTGAAATAGAGATGATTTTAGTGAAAAGTAATTTACTGAGAGGCAGTTTAAATGCTAGAAACCCTTTAGAACTTACTGGCTACATACCAYACATACATACAATTTGGGTTCCTCTCTCTGAAATGTGAAGGTTATGGTAAATATTTATACAGCAGTTAGCTTTTGGAAATAAGTTAAAATAATAAAATGAAGATCACAGTACTGTAACTAAAACCAAATAAATAATTGTAATTATTTAGTGTGGTTATATTTGGAAATGTAACAAATGAAACCTGCGATAGCTAACACTTCTGATGCCTTAAGTTAATAATCCCTGAAATCTTATTTAATATTTTAATATTTCCTTGAAAACACAGTTTTGAGTTAATGATTAYTAGGTAATAAAGACTTAGTAGTTATTTCTTATATAAAGCACCATCTGTTGCTTTTCATGAAGAGGAGAATCAAAGATAATCCCTGCTTTGTCCTCGTGTTGTGCTGTGACAGTGTGGCAGGCTATTTACCTGAGCTATATATACTGAGTTGTTTAAGAAAACTATGGAAAGTCACTGTGCAGGTAGAATATGGATGTTTGAATTCTCCATGATAGTGTCTGCAGGTTGGGGGGGAAGTAACCCTTCAGTTTGCATACAAACTGTCAGGGATTTCTGGAGCGTTTGTGCAGTCAACAGTAACCAAGCCCAAGATGTGGAACAGGCTGCTTGAACGTACTGCATTTACATTATCTTATAGTTGCTATTATGGTTGCTATTATAATATTTGCTTTCTTCAGTATTTTTTTTACTGGTGCTGTTAGTATAGCTTATGCCAGAAGGGTTTAAAAACACTTCTGAAGATGAAAGCATCTCTGTGCTGTGTGGTACAGGGCCCTCCTTTGTGTACTGSATGTGTCTAGGAGGTTTTGCATTTCATTGGCAACTGCTGTGTCCATACTTATGTTGCAAGCTAACCAGATTCCTGATAGGCTGATAGTGTAGAAAGGTCTAGGAGATATGTCCCTGAAAAATAATCTAGATATCCTGAAATGCTTCTGGAAGACTTAATTTTTGGTGTTTTTTATATTGAAACACTAGATGACAAACTGACAGATACAGATCTGATCTATACCTTTGGTGGTGCATGAATACGGTGAATGAATTTTCACAACTGAGAGGTGAAACTTCAGCTGTGATTTTTGTGTTTCCTGATGTATTTTCAGACCATCTAATTAGAATTATAGAACCATTATTGTAGGAAAAGASTTTTGAGGATCAAGTAGAGCAGTAAAGGTACAAAGTACCTTAAAGCCATCCCATCTTTCTAATGATGTTTTTCTCCTCTAAACAGGAGGGAAGGACAGAAGAAGTGGCCTCATCCTGACAATTCCACTATGCCTTGAACAGACGAGTATGGATGAGCTGAGYGTCACACTAGACTACCTTCTCAGTATCCCAAGGTGATTTCAAGTCATTCCGTTCTGTGCTGCTCAATTTTCTGGTGGTGGAAGGAGTCATATTTTGTCTTTTATTTTTTCATTACCTTTTAAGACAAAATAGTTTACGTAGGCAATTATTTTAAATGCAATCATCTGGTTTAATTAGAAACAATATATTTCAATAAACCAAGCTATATCTACTAATAATAGTGTAAGCCCTTTTATTTTGTGTTTCTGTGACTTTGCCTTTTTGCTGTGTATGTTTATCCCTTCTTTCTTGGCATTTCTGTGTTAATTTCATTTATAATGACAGTACACTTTTCATTGCTATCTAAATTAATGAGGCACTACAATGAACGCATGTTTACAGAGATGGTTCATTGCAGTTGCTGAATTTGCTCAAACTAAAAGACCTTCCTTCTCTTCCTTTCTTYGCTGAAAGCCTGTTTTTGTAGCCTGTAGTGCTTAAGCATGTGCTTGATTTTAAAAAAAATACATGAAGTATCATTGATTGTTTAAAGCTGAGAGCTCTTAAATGTGCTGAATTACAGTTCAAGTATACTGCTTTTCAGACTTTGCTATAAAATAATCATTGATTAAGTTCTGATCATGTAACCCTGCAAGCTAACAGCAACAGTTAGCTGATCTTTTATTACTTATTGCCTTTTTTGTCTTATGACAGAGGTTGGCCTCTGTTACAGCCTTGCTTTATTTTGCTTCTAGAGTGGAAAGAAGACCTTTAGCTAAATGTTTATTTCTGATCCTTTCAATCTGTATTTTTAAAATAGCAAAACAATGATATAATTAGAGAATGCATTTTGTATATTGGAATCTGCAAAGGCTTTAAAGAAGTGGATCTGACTTTTCATAGTTATCAGTGATTAAAAAATGCCCTGGCTGGAGAGATGGAAGCAGGGAATTAATTCATATTGCTTCCAAATAAAACATCAAAATGAAGATGTGTATATCAAGCAACATTTTAGTAATGGAAATTTTAGGGATTTTTAATCAGCTTATTGTCCTTTTTTTTAAATGATGAAAATCCCAGGTCATCATCTGTGCGGGCTGCCTCACTGACTTGCGGGCTTGGCCGTGTTTAGGGAGCAGATGCAGGCGTTGTTGTTCTTGCAGGCATGAATTGTCCTGCAGGCTCGCGCCAGTACATGGCCTCAGCTATATTAGTGAAAGAGTAACTCTGAAAATTCAACCAGAGCCTGCCTCATACACCCTGCAAACTGGGAGGTTCGTTCAGAAGAGAAGTTTAATGTTTTCATTTCTAATATTGCTAGTTAGTTGTGTGGAAAAAGCAGCCTCCCCTTACAGGGATAGTATGGAAAAATCATTGTCATTTTTGTTTGTGTGTGTCCTTAGTGGGAATCRCATACTTTTTAGACTAATCAGTTGCCTTTTTTTGTTCTGGAAAATCTAACTAAACATTGTTTGGGGGCATGGGAAGGAGAACGTGCCCAAAACCCAGATGGATTTCCATGAAACATTTGTGTTATTTTTCTTCCTGCTTTTCTGTGGAAAGTAACTTGATATATTTACCTTTGAGTTCAGTTATGCATGCCATGACATGCTTTTCAACTTTTAAACATTACTGGTTGGATATTTGACTAATCCTTTCAGAACTGGTAGCGTGTGTGTTTGGCTTTTSTTGTTTTTGAATGGGTTAAGTAATGATGGAAAACAGGTGCTGATACTGCTGCTTTCCAGTGAGCATAAAGAAAGCAATGTCTCGAATGCAATAGTGACACCATTCATCTTGCTGCTCTTGGAAGCAGTGTTGATTCGCCTCTGTGATTTGTTCTGATTAAACAAAGAAAAAAAAGGCTTTTTTTTAAGGTRTTTTGGGGGAATTTGTGTATGTAATCTTAGAGGTTACTGAATGGGTTGACAGCCAAATTTGTAATTATTTTTTCCTGAATACTGTAATAGGGTACCTTTTTCATTTTTTTAATTCCAAGTTTTTTTTTCCTGTCCTCCATCCAGAACTGATAAAGTAAACATGGATGTGCTTAAGTGCAAATTGAAAATTGGTTTAATTTTCTAAACACGTGAATCAGTTCATTTTCTGAACATGTAAAATACAGTGCTTGCTGGTGCAAGCAAGCTGCATCTTTTTTTGTAAGCTAGAGATCAGAAGTGGCTTTGTTTTGTGATTACGTGTTTGAAAGTTTGGGCCCTGAAGAGTGCATAATGTTTTTCAGATGCTCATGAGTTTGACAGATAGAATTTCAGCCTCCAAAGTTGCAGTACCAGGCGTTTCTGTTCAGGTAGAGGAAACTTCTCTAGTCCTTCATTTCAGAAAGTAAGACTAGAAGAGCATGCAGTAGCAAAGCAACAAAAAGGAATTATGCAGCATGTTCATGTCTGAGAAGCTTTAAGCTATGTGAATTTAGAGCTTGGTGATGTTTTTCCAAATCCACCAGAAGTTATGAAGTTGAATTTAAAAATTACTGCTTGGGTTGACCCTGTGGATGTGTTTATGCCTTGATGGCTAAAGCCTGTGGATGGGACTTTACTGCTTTTTGCCTGCAAAATGGAGAGACTTTCTGAGGATTGCTGTGGTGTCTAATGCTAAAATTACAGGCTTGTTTCGGTGCCCTCCTCTGGCTGCTGCTGTGCTGGTTGTGAGCAGGTCACCCTTCCAACTGGTGGTGACATCCAGAGGTCAGTGCCCTCCTGGAGCTGTCTGCTCAAGCTGGAGCTGGCAAAACTGGCCGCCTGCTTCWTTCCAAAGGAGCTGGATGGGTCTGTGTGGAGATGGGCCAAGAGTGAGGAAAGTTTCCGCTATGCTTTCCCATTTGGTCCTTCAGCAGAAATGCCTTGGAATATTTGGCTTTGCAACTAGCTACATTCAGCCTAGCTTTTGTTTGTAGGACATGTACCCAAACCTTTTAAATAAAAGCATAATAGACACTGTCAGTTGAACATGCTTTCTRTAGAGAGCTCTGTGCAAAGCTTCTGTGCTGAGGCTTTTTGCGCACTGTAATTATTAGATCACTTATTTTAAGAGGAAATTTAGGTATGTTTAGGTGCTTTCCTGCTTGGGCATGTGCCAATGATTGTTATTACTATTTTTTAATTGTATCCTCAAGTTTGCACCAATGTAAGTGACCTTGTGAAGACTAACACCCCTTTGCTTGCCTTACTAAGCAGCAAAYGAATCTGTTTTATCCTTTAGGTGATTTTTGAAGCTTTTATTTGCTCATAGAGCCTTTTCAGAGGTACTGAAGTTTAAACAAATGCTTGTGTTATGAGATACACTCAAGTGCCACTGCAAAATTATAATTTGGGGTATCCGCTAATGTGCATGAGCGTTTAAAATGAAAGCTCTTTCTGGTGGAGCATACTTAATATTTATAAGAGTTTTAAGGAAAAAAACTATGTAGTTATATTAGCATGGTTGAAATTCAGAGTCACTGTGATAAGGCATGATGAATTTTGCATTATTTCTAAGGTTTTTCATTTTCTTTTTAGTGAAAAATGTAAAGCTAGAGGATTTACTGTGATAGTGGATGGCAGAAAATCTCAGTGGAATGTGGTAAAGACGGTTGTGTTAATGCTGCAGGTAAGTGTGCTTTTTATATGTTCATAAGTGACAGGTTAGTTTTATAGATAACCTAATTAGCTGCATTACTGTAAAAGCAGTCACTATTTAAAAAAAATCAATTTGTTCTGTGACAAAATTTGGGGGAGGAAGAAGCAATCTGAGAAAAGGATAATAGGCTTTGTTCAGGTGGGGGCCAAATTTGTTACATGCTCAAAACATGATGTTAGAGACTTTTTTTTGTTTTTAAACAGAGTATGAGACTGGTTTAGTTTCAAATTCCAGAAGTTTCACCGTGATATCATCAGTCTGGAGGTCTGTCATCTGATTTCTGCCAAACAATATAGGTTATTCAGTTCTCTCAAAGGTGAAAGAAGTTATAATACACAGCATRTGAATAGGTTGGAGAACCATCATGCATTTTGGATTACTGTTTTTAGAACTCCACAGGTGATGACTGAGGAAGAAGTGATCTCTGTTTATCACAGTGATTTTCCTCCCGTCTTAGCTGACACCTCAGAAAATGTATCAAATATCAATAATTTGATTTTCTTGTTCTGCCGAGCAAAATTTGTGCTCATGAATTCCTTGGTCTCTTTCAAGGTGTCTTTCTTCTACTTTCGTCTAAGATGCAATTTCGACAGATAGCATCCAGTGATAGTAATTCAGTCCCTTGTCTCCCAGTTCTGGCCCTGATTGAGCCTTCATTCCACCTATTAGTGTGAACTTCAGACCAGTGGGGCAGGTCTTTGCCCGTGCTCACATTTCACTGGCTTCCTGTCATCATGGCCCATGTGAAGTCTGCACAAACACAAGTTGCACATCTATAAACTCAATGTGAGAAGGACACACAGCTTTTTCCTTTCGGTTATGATTGCTGAGTTGTATACAAGTAGCTTGTCTTTTTTTGAAATCATGTTTTCAGAAATAGAACAAGATATACTGGTAGAGAGGTCACATATGGTCGTATGTACAGTGTCATCTTAGTAGCTGCTATTAATATGTTAGGCTGAAAAAGGTCTTCCTAATAATCACTTTATTAACATATTTGAATRTGAATATTTTTATTTATTTTACAGAATGTTGTTCCAGCTGAGGTATCACTTGTTTGTGTAGTAAAGCCAGATGAATTTTGGGACAAGAAGGTTACGCATTTCTGCTTTTGGAAAGAGAAAGATAGACTTGGATTTGAGGTATGTAGAACTATTGTTTACTTCATTTAGAAATACTGTTTCTAGAATGCTAGTAACTGGATAAAAAGGAACAATTCTTAAAAGTTGGATTGCTGTGTGGATATTCTGAAATTACTGTTGCTGCTCCATTACATGGAGTAGTTCTTGAATGTTGGATCTCCTTTAATTCTTTGCCCAGAATGTAAAGCTGTCTGATAAACCTGGTCATGTTATGCATAAAAGATTGTTGTAGAGTGTTAAGTGTGAATTTTTTGTAAATGTCTCTTCAGTAGTAGGTTTCAGTAGAGTTGCATTTCACATGGTGTCACTAGATCTGTAGTAGCTGTTTAGAAAAGCATCTTGCTGCTGGCGTCTCCTCCTGTTTGAGGTGGCACATGGCAAGACTGGAGGGCTCCCATCCCCTGGGTACTAGAGATGGGCTGATAGTGCCCTGGCCTCGCGAGGCAGAATGGGCACGAGAGGTCACACACCAGCTTTAACGGTTCTGTTCTTCTGCCTTTCAGGAAAGTTAACAGAATGTAGCTTGTTTCTAGTTTTCCCTATATTTAGAAAATCAGTCATCACATAAACAATCTCTCCAACTGTTTTTGGAGCTGATCTTATTTGAACTAGAGCTGTTTTCCTGTTTTCACCAAATACTAAAAGGTCTGTTGTTTTTAAACAGCAAAACACTATAATTAAAAGCTTTTTTTTTTTTTTTTTAATTGTGAGAGTTTGGATAGGAAAATATTTTGCAGCCCCCTCTAATGCTAGATAACTATTACTGATGTTAAGATTATAACGTTCCTAAATACTCCTGTAGAAAAGTTCATATGGGGATGGAAAGGTGGCAGCTGAAGAGTAGCCATCTACTAAATAATATAAACCCTTTATCGTTCAGGTATGACACTGTTAATTCTTGTTAATTTTGTCCTATTACATTTTTTATCAGTCCTTACCAAGAACAGGTGGTTTGATTTTTAGAAACGTACTTCCTGCTTGTGAAAGTGCCTTGAAGAAGTGCGGGGGCAAGGGAAATTTCTCTTTTCCARTCAGCTGACCACACCCTTTTATTCTGTGTTTATTTTTGTAGATTCCTTTTACAGCATTGTCTGGTGCTTTTTTTTTTTTTTCCCCCTTCTGCTTTACATTGTAATGAGTAAGCAAGTCCTGCGGCTCTGCCTTCAGGCTGCTTGTTTTGTCTGTATTTTCTCTTCATGTGATTTCTTAAGGACAGGTTGAAAAAGTAACCCGAGTTCAGTGCAGCCACCCAAAGACTTCCTGAATAGCCTTGTATGTGTTGGAAAGCCTGCAGGCAGTTAAATGTTCCCGAGTTAAGATACTTACATGCTTGAAGCTTTGCTGGGCATGTGGTTTCAAGTCACAATCCTGTGACTTCAATTGTAGTTCGTTAGTGAAGTCTCTCTTGGGCTTCACAGGTGTCCCTTCACCTGAGCCCCGTGAGGGCCTGATAAAGAAGGGTGGTCAAGGCGAATTTGTCCTGCCACAACAGCTGGGGCTGCAGCACGTAGCAGCTCACTTGTGGCCGTGCCCATGCGAGGGAGAGGAGATGAGTGTGATGGTGCTCATGCTGCAGGAGCGGACCTCTTGGCTGGTGCACCTCCGAGCTGAGCATTAAGGAAGAGAGACCGAACCACTCAAAAATATGATTTAAGAGCTTATGTTCAGGAAGTGATTTAAGATTGCACTGCCTAGTTTCAAGTAGTTGCCTGCAGGACTTCAGGTACCAAAATTCAGGAAATAGCCCTAGTAAAAACAGGCTCTTTCTTTCACAGTTACTWCGGTGTGATTTTAGGCTGTCTTTCTGCATCTGTGAATTTGGTTCTCAGACAAGTTCATTTGAAGGTTGTGATCTAAAAGAGTTTTTCTTGCGCCATCTGCAAACCAATTTACTTGCTAGCATTGAAATTAATCTTCTGCAAGCCTTTGTTGTTGTTGTTTTATCTTTAGTATGACTCAGAATGTATTTCTAGACAAATATGTGGAATGCCTACAGAAAATATGAAATAGTAGTGAAGCAAGGATAGTGTAACATAGTTATAAGAGTAATTTTTTTGTTTGTTTGTTTGTTTAAGTATTGACTCACAGTCATTCCTGGTATTTCTGTAATGAAATTTCACAATATCACAATAATAATTTTGTGAAGACTATTCTGTGCCAATGATGATGGAATTGTTGGCTTGAACTGTTGGAACTGTGTTATTTTATTTTTTTTGGATTTTTAAAAGAACTTTTCTGTTACTGAACCCTGAACATTTTTTCCTGGTCTGAAGGCTTGATTTAAGATTCTCTTGTTATTTTAAGAGTTGGGATTTTTTTAGGAATGGGGAAATATTTAAGTATTAAAGATAGATTTCATGCAAATACAGAGCAAAATGTTTTAAACTTTAATATTTAAAGGGATGAATTGATTTGGGAGAAAAAAATCACATTGAAATACAACAGCTGCATACTTGTCAGGAGGCAAACCAGCTTTTTTTTTTTTTTCCCCCTTAATGACTCTTTGTATTTTGGTAAGATGCGTGGGAAGGTCGCAAGTTTCTCCAAATAAAGGCTAAATAAGTAGTTCCAGAGTTCTCCGTGGGATAGCTCTTTGCTCTTGAGGTTTCCCCCTTAGTCTGGAAGTGCCGTTTGGCCGACTGTGCTGAGCGGGGTGATGGTGTCCCCGAGCCCAGGATACCCCGTGCCCAGGGTACCCGCCGGCTTCGGGGCGGTTGTGCTGCTGCTGGCGCTGGGTGACGAGCAGCTCTWGGTGCAGGGTGGCCACAGCCGTCAGAAGGGTGTGGGAGAGGTGCTCACACTCCTTGTTTTCTTCCTCTTTCTTTTTTTGTGCAATAAATTGTGCATTTTCTTAAATGTCTTCACCAAAAGACAGAGAAAGCTTGTGAGAATAGCCCGAAAAAATTATTTGCTTTTCCAGATGACAACAAATGACCCTTAGAGACAGGTAAACTCATGTTCTTCCATTACAATCCATTACCCTCTGTTAATCTCTTGCTTGGTTGTGTTTAGGCAAACGGGCTCAGATGACCCACTGCCTCTGTGCTCCCAGGAATCTTTCTTTTAGAGGAAGTCATACATCTTTTTTTTCCGTTTCTAATACGACTGCAAAGCAGTGATAAGAGTATGGAAGCCTCTAACTCATGCATGCATTTACAGCTGCATAATTATATATCTCTGGCATTAAAAACAAAAACCACAACATGTGTTTCAGATCACAGGGTAAATTTGCATAGCTATTAGTCAGGAAAATCAAGATTACTCTTGTACCATTGAATAAATATGGTGTAAAATTTTAAATGGAAGCGTGGAATATTTTCATTCGCTTCAGAGTATGATCTCATTTTATTTGAAATGCTGTGCAGTTGTGGTTTCAAATCTCTTCCCTGTTTCCTGCTACCTGATCTGGTTTGAATATGCTGCTTAGCACTGCCCCGCAAAGCCATCGCTTGCAGTGTCCTCCTTGCAAAGCAGAGCTGCCCTGCTGCCGTGTGCCGACCTGGACGGCACCAAAGGTGAGGAGGGAGCTGAGAAAAGCTGCTCTGTGGCGAAGTGKCAGCAGCTGGGCTTGCTCTGCTGGGGAGGAAGGTGCACGTCCTTAGTCTTCCTTGGTGACAGTGCTGGCTTTGAGCACTCCTGGTAAATTCTGCTACCACCCAGCAGCGCTTTCCTCTGTGCATTTGCTCCTCCCCAAAACATGTGTTAGCACCTACTCCTTGTGCTCCCGGATGGTTTTCTGGGGTCTCCTTCCAATCGATTTAAGGGTGCTGCATAACCTGAGAGAGTTGTTCCAGTAATTGCTCAAAGTGTCATCTGTAGGAATGTTGCACATGCTACACTGTGTAACACTTGAGTAGTAAGTCATGTTGCTAATTGCTTTTTAAATGAATGAAGAATAGGATGCTAACATTAAAGTTTCTAACTTCATTTTTGGGAGCTTGGGAGGTGTTCTTCTTGGCCTTTTTGTTAATGTACTGCACACAGTGGTGTGAAGCAAACCATTCTTTGGAGAGTAGCCTTTGTGTCTTATAGTTGATTGAGCTTTTCATCCAAAGTAATTAGAATAACTGGAAGAAAATGGGTACCGTAGAAGGAGCAGAACTGGTAAATGTTTTTGTGTTTTGGTTTTTGCACGCAATGCACGACTACACCCAGGCTGAGTGAGGGGGCTTTGTTTTTGCATTGGAGTGGGAGGGTTTGCATATCACATCCTTGGTTCGGACGTTGAATTAGTCCTTTGAAAGTCAGTTTGCTTTGAAAGGGGGGAAAGAAAAAGTATGGCTGCTTTTCTTACCCTTGTAGAAATTATGGAGCAAAATTTAAAAGTTTATTTAGAATTGATATGTACGAAATCATGGGCTCAGCAGTAAACACGGGAGAATTTAAGGTGGCTGGGGACCAGCTGAGAAAACGGACCTTAGTACACAGTAAAAGGATCCTGTTCATCCTGGATCCCGATGGGTTTTTAATTTGGATTAAGAAATATTTTTAAGTCAACGTAGTGATTTAAATAAAAATTGCAAGCACACAATGGGGTATTTTGGTGTCTACAGTTGCAGGTAGCTTCCATCCGTATGTGTGCCTTCCCCAGGGTTATTGAAAGCTGGTCACATAGSAGAAAGCTATCCCAGGGAATGGCATCCTCCTCCCAGAGGGAAGAGGAGTCAATAATTTCCGTGGTTAGTAGGCTGGTGCAGTTTGATAATGATAATTGTAGAGGGAAAATGGCAAGTAATTGAAAGTATGCTGATAACRAAGTATTAAACTATTGAGGATTCAGAGGAGCCTGTGTGAGCGAGTGCTTTGTGAAGCATGAAGGACAGAGCAGAATGATCGAATGTGAAACAATGTGAATGTACCTGTCCTAATTACTTTAGTGCATAACATCAACATATCTCGAGTAAATTATTTTTCTCTTTTTTCATAAACATATAGGATGTGAAAGAAAATACAAAAAATGACCTCAAAATAAAAATACATGTCAAAAGAAGAATAAAAAAAAAACTGTTTACCTTTTGGTCCTGGTGTCATTGGAGGGTTGGGCTGGTTGCCAGCACTGCCTTAAGAAACTGCAAGCTAAAGCTATTTATGGCAGTTGTGCATGCAGTTGTATGGAATAAGAATGGCGAGGAATGTCCTGTGTTGGCTGGATGTTGTTGGAAGACATTCACATGCTAGTRACCATTAAATACTCAGTCATTTGTTTGGATCTATTCTAAATTCCTTAGTTAAAAAAAAAAAAAAAAAATAGAGTAGCTCAGGTTTGGGACAGACCTTGGCAGGTCTGTAGTCCAGCCTCCTGCCGTGAAATATGTAAAATCCAGCTATTCAGTCCGGTCTTGAAAAGCTTCCGAGGATGGAGCCTGCAGCAACCTTTGCTTTTCAGTTGTTAAAGTTGCTCTTTCTCTGACCATGTAGTGCCAATATGTCTGCTTGCAGAGACACGTTTTCCATACRAGTTATTCCAGTGGTAGCGTGTTGTATATTAAAGCAAACTGTGCAGCCAGCTTTTGTCTTCAGTTTATATGGATGAGGCTCAGGTAGGAGGCTCTAGTTTGCAGAAAATGAGGGGAGCGTTTCCTTGTCTGACTAGCAGTGGACCTCAGTGGTTTTCTCTGTTTCCTGAAGTAGCTGATGCTCTTCACAGTTGTCTTCTGGGTAAATGAATCGGGCTTTTGAGCACCTTCAGGTTTGTATGTGACTCTTCATGGGAGAAATGTGGCACAGCAAATGCATGCCCTTGTGTGGCGCAAACTCAGGAGTGGAACTGCAAGACAGTGGCATGAACCCTTCTTTTAACTGCTCTGCAGCACTGCATCTTGCAACTGCAGTCTCTGAAAACAGATCATGGGAARAATCACTAAATGAGAAAATGTCAGTTGCCATCAATGGAATAATTAGCTAAGAAAGATCTTAAAAAAAGACTAGATGATACAGGTCATGTATCTTCTGGTATCAAATRAAAGATCATCTGCTTGGTACCTCTGGACACACTTTATATAACCAGTCAGGTACCTAGGGGAAAAAATATGAGCATTGACTAACATTACTAATGAATATGAGCATTGCTAACAGGACCTACAATTTTCTATGTTATTGCAGGTTATTTTAGTATCTGCCAACAAGCTCACTCGATATATAGAACCATGCCAACTAACAGAAGATTTTGGAGGAACTCTCACCTATGATCACATGGATTGGTTGAATAAGAGGCTGGTTAGTTTTCTTTATTTCTTTCAAATGTTTCATTCCTTAAACTGTGAATTTTTCTTTGTGTAATAAATGCTATATGTAAAGAATTTGYTGTATGTATAGTATTGTACAATTCAAATGCATGAGTAGCCTCATCATGGTAACTTAACATTGCATTTTCTTAAGGAATGATAAAACTAACGTAGTCAACAGAATAGTTGAGGTTGGAAGGGACCTYTAGAGATCATTTGGTCCAACCTCCTTGCTCAAGCAGGAACACCTAGACCACGTGCCACAGGGCATCCTAGCACGTGCCACATGCTAGGGTGGCATCTAGGAGGGTTTGGAGGATCTCCAGAGAAGGAGACTCTGTAACCTCTCTGGGCAGCCCATTTTAAACTGCATTACAGTGCAGTTTTCCATGTGGATGCAATGCACATGTAGAAGAAAATACATTGCTAAAATTAATTAATTATTTTGTCAATTGTTAGTGCACATAGCACTCCAGAAGACATTTTTAATCTGTTCTTCACTGCTWTTTATTTTTTTAGTTATTTAAATAGAGTTTTTAAAACAGTGTAAAAATTTGGAGGGACCTGTTTGCCATTTCCATGTTCTTAAAATGTGTATTCCAATCTATGACCCTGACATGGCATGCCAGATGACGGACCATCATGCTAGTGAGTCCCAACTCAAACTGTCAGAGGYCTTCAAACACACCCAGCAGCCAGTCTCCCAGCAATCTTCCCCCTCAAATAGTTTTGTGGGGGGATACCTAGTAGGTACCTTCCTTTATTTCTGCTGAATCTCAGCAGTCTTGTCTATTCTCAGACCTTATGTCAGAGAGAAGGTTATCTTCTTTACCACTTTCTATTCCATTAGACTTTGATCTGTATGTCTGTCAGGACAAAAACAAGTCAAGTTTTCCTTCCTTGCTTGAAGTTGAAAGGTCTGGACAGACACACAAGGAAAAAGAAAATTCACATAKATAGAATAAAGGCTTGGGCCTTTAATATCATATGTCTCCCTATACAGAAACCCCTGTTCACTCCCTCATTCTCCTTAATTTCAAACTTGGCCAACTTTGTGCTAATACCTCTGTAAATGTTCCTTCTTGGCTACGTTGTTATAATTTCGCTTCTAATTACTTTACATTCAGAAGGGTCATAAGCCCAGTTCTTCCATCCTAGATGTGACTTCGTATTTGGTTCAGACTTCAACCAAAAATTTTCTCATGTCTCTTCAGTTGCATAACACTAACTTCTTTTCACCTATTTATGTGATATTGAAGAACCTTCTATAAAGACTTTCATGAAGTTGGTAGTGCAAATATATCCAATATCACCATTCTGTGATAATGACTAAGAATTTTAAAGAAAATTAAATTTTCAGTCCTCCTACATTATATTTAGTATACTATTTCTACAGCCATAGAGTCTTAACATTCTGTGTTCACAATATTCTTCTAGTGTTTATACTCTACTGTACAAATGGTAAATAATTGCACCTTATTAAGATTGAAATATATTAACAGAGTTAGTGAATAAATTTCAATACTCTCAGTTATATAATTTGCTCTTTTTTAATTAAAACATGTCCTTTTAGGTATTTGAAAAGTTCACGAAAGAATCAACATCTTTGCTAGATGAGCTTGCTCTAATTAACAATGGAAGTGATAAAGGAACTCAGCAAGAGAAAGAGAGGTATGTGATAACTTCTTGAAAAAGAGTTAAGTCCGTATAAACTTTTGGAAATGAAAGCAATATTGAACAAGTGGGATGTGCATTTAGTATATTGTGAAACATATAAAGAAATTTTAGACTTATAGTGTGGACAGCAAAATTCTGTTTTTATACAGATTCTATTGGCTATTGACTCCATCTGGTTATACTTCTGATGCAACTTGGAAAAAAACAGGCCTTYCTGGCTAATTGTTTTTCTTGGTATTTAGAATCAAGATGAGCAGTTTGAATTTACTTCGCATGCCAAGCTTTTAAATAAATATTTGTGTCAATATGCTCCAAAATCATCARAAGAACTCTTTTTGTTGTTGTTGCTTTAACCATTGTGTTACAATATACATCAAAACAATGTAAGGGACAAGTTGTTTATTTCCTATGACTTTGATAAGTTGGTCTTTTTATAGATTTAAAAAAAAATGTATTTGAGGTTTGGATTGAAATACAGGAGATGAAGTTTCAGTTTTAGGCTTTGTTGGAAACTCCTTACATGACAGAGAGCAAGTCTCTATGGCTTTGATCTTGTGCTGGTATCCTTGCCAGCAGGTCACGTTCCARGAACAAAGCTTGTAACAGTGATAGCATTGTTGTTCAGTTCTGTTAAAGAGAAAAACAGCGTTATTCATACTTATCTACACTTTTTAGGTCTTGTTATATGTAATGTGTTCTCTGGAGGCAAATGGGGGAGGAGAGGTGTGAAGAAAAGAAGCATGCGAGCTCTGAATAGCTGATTAGTACTACCATAGTAAAGATGATTAATAATATATTTATTACTTTATTTTAAGATCAATAGATTTGAACTTTCTTCCATCAGTTGATCCTGAGACGGTACTCCAGACAGGTACAGTAAGTTGCAAAATGATCATTTTAGTCAATAAAGTAATGGAATTTTTTTTGAAACTTCAAGTGAAGGCGCTGAAGATGAATTTCAGTCTGATAACCTTTTTAGTTAATGTCATCTATGAGTTAAAGTAAGGTGTTAGCAAGTAAATAGGAGCCCTTCCAGTAWCGCTTTTACAGAATTAGCATAATTAATAAGCTTAGTTTGAGAATACCTTGCTTCTAGATGGTGACAGTAGGTCCGCATTGTAGAATGAACTCGGCTCAGTAGCTACTAAATGGTTGTAATAAGGACAAGATGTTTTTCCCTTACACAGCTGGTTATATCAGCCTAGTTCCAAGCAGACCAATTGTGAAAGTAAGGTATAAGTTTTCCCAATTCTTCAATGTTTAGACTCTCACTTGACCATTAAACAACTGGAGTTTCTTTATATAACTGTYTTTCAGGGTGGATTTATTACTCACAGTATAGTGCCACCGTTGATTTAAACTAGAATTGCTTACAGATTTGTGTCTTGTAACATGTATAGGAATAGCAAGTAACATATAACAGCATAATGGTCAAAGTTTCTAAAGAGTGCTTAGGATCCTTACCRAGTAGCCTTGTGCAAACTAATACATTAATCATATATATGAATTTCTGTGGAGAACTGCTGTATGTGCTCTCAACATAAAAGCTTTCGCTTATTTAAATAGAGGAGAATACTATTGAAAATCGAAACAATGTTCGAGTTCCTTCCTGCAGCTGCTAAATCTTACGTACAAAGTGGCTATTGATGCTGTTGGTAGATTTCAGAGGCTAGGTGTGCGTTCTCCTCTAGTGCTAAGATTCTTGGGCAAAACAACAGTTTTAATCTTGAGTAAGTGGCTCCCAAGAATGTTCATTTATATGTATTATTTTCTTAATTATCACATAATGAAAATTCTTTAGGGCTGTTGACATTAAGAACTTTCATTAAGTGTCTCTTAGGAACTCATCAACCTTTTGCTTTGTTTGACCCACTGTATTGACATTTGAGAAGTCAAAGATTAAATTGTCCCCAGTTAAATTTTTCTATTCTTTAATGGAAAATACAAACATTCATAAAAGAGGAAACCTTTATTTTATTTATTTTTTCCTTTCCTCCCTGTTCTGGGATTTTAAATAGAAAGCCTCTATTTTGTAATCCAGTAAAGTGGTATGCTTGATTCATTAACATTTCCAAAGTTTCCCTTTAATCTAAGAATAGATTTCTTTGTTAATCATTGTTATTTTCAGTAAAAGTGTGGAAGGCTTGCTTTTTTTTTTTTTTCCCTTATGTCTAGAATTTGTCAGATGATTTTTTTCCTTATGTTACTTGATACAGCTACACAGACTAGATGGTTTTTTTGCCTGTTAATAAAATTATATCAGTAAAATTGCCCAGTGCATATAAGATATATCACCAGGTGATCTAAAAGTAATTTTGCCTACAAGAGCAAAATTTTGTSTTTGGGGTTTGTTTTTTTGGGTCCTAATGAACCATGTCACTATTGATACCTCTAAAGGTCATGAGCTACTATCTGAGTTACAACAGCGTCGATTCAATGGCTCGGATGGAGGGGTGTCCTGGTCTCCAATGGACGATGAGCTGCTAGCCCAGCCGCAGGTCATGAAGCTGCTGGACTCGCTCCGAGAGCAGTATACCCGCTACCAGGAAGTTTGTAGACAACGCAGCAAGAGAACCCAGCTAGAGGAGATTCAGCAGAAGGTGATGCAGGTAAGCACAAAGTTCTTCTTCATACTGTGAGATGCAAGTTCATGCCTCAGGATGTTATTTCCTACCAATATCAGGGATGAAGAACTTCATTCCAGTCGTTATGATCCCTTTCACTCCTCAGACTGTGACGTGCTGCTTTGACTTGGTTCTTTATGCTTTGGACTTTCCAAAGTCTCCCATGTTCTGATACACAGAGAAGCTTAGAAAACAGAATTCAGATGGAGTCTTTTTCTTATCCACACAGTCTTTATGAAGAACCTTCACAGCATCCCTTTGCTGCACACTGTAATAACCACTCTTGCACTGTCAGCGGCTCAAATGCCTCTATAAGTGTTCAAAAAGAACACTTCTAGATGAGGCACATTGGGCTGTAGTTTAGCTTGTAAACCTACCCTCTTCACGCTTACATTACTGAAAATAAGCCAGCACTAATTCCTTTTTCTCTAATGCTTGGATGTTTTGCTGAAGATGGCGATTAAACTTTCCATCTTTCAATTTCCAGGCTACCCTGACCAGAATGATTACAAACCTTTCTAAACAATRGGTTCTTAAAGGTCATAATGAATTGATTTGGTCCTTTGGATACAGGCATGTAATTGGCACTTTCARCAGTTTCATACATATAGTCTCAGTAGAAATAATCAAGGAAATGGAAATAATTTATTTCTTATTGAAATTAGWTTTATATTTTTTTAAGCTTCAGTAATAGTTTGAATATCAGAAAATGGAGCGCATATTGTTCTTAACCTTTAAATGTTGACATTTCAAATACACAGGGAAGGAATCAAGTATTTGCACCTCATAGCATGCCAGGTATGGGTAAATATAAAAACTAATCTATCTTGCTATTTCTGGTACTCAAAATATAAATGTACTGAAATACCATTTTTTCACTTGTGTAAACATTAATCTTTTTGAAAAGAGGGGGAGGGGAGGATGTGAACATCATCTTTTGATATTTCGAGCTGAAAGCAATAAAAATATGTAAAAGATGAAAGCAATAGTGTGTAGAACACATTATCATGGCAGTAGATATACTCAGGTGATGAGGGTTTTTTTTCACTGTGGTGAAGTTATTCAGTTTGAACAATATGTTCTGATTTAAATGAGTTTATAACAGAGTTTGGCAGACAGCCATTGTTAATGCATTTAAATAGACCTGTTTACTGGGACATCAGCCTGATTTTACAATGTTTGAGTTAGAAATTGCTATTGGTTTGCTCTGTGTGTGCTACAGATGTTGCATAGTAAGTCAGCTGAGCACATGAGGAATGTTGATCAGTTTTATAAAATACATTTCAAATGTATTTAAATGACATAAAAATGGGGGGGGGGGAGAAAAACCCTAAAATCTAAAAATGGATTTCCAGGTAGTCTGTAGGAAAAAATTGGCCTAACAAAAAAATAGGAAGATAATGGTGAACTGGAGGAAACTGATTGAGGCAAAATGTTCTGAAAGCTACTTTGCCAAACCAAACAGCAGTGGCGAGATACCATGCTGCAGCAGTGTGTGGCTGCACTGAGTGGGTGCTTATGGCACACGCCCTTGCATTGCTGATTGATTTTAATGATTTGGTTTTCCCTTATCTTGTGTTACAGTTCTGTTCCTCTTTCATTCTTCTCAGTGCTTTTCATATTGCTTATCGCTTCTGGTTGTCTTTTATTAGCATTTCTATTTCATTTTTGTAATGTGCCTCTCCAGCATACTGCAATAAATTTAGTATTTGCTCCCATCTCAAAATACTCATCCATGACTGTTTCTCTTGCCCTGTTCCTTGAGTATCCTACCCTCTCTTCCAAGCCCCGACTCCTTTTATTGTTTCATAATTATCATAATTTTATTTCTTGTCCTTTCCTCTTTCATTCTGAGGGAAAAGATAGCAATGATTTTCAGAGATATTCTGATAAGCGGTTTTACTAAGCAGACAGCTAAGAGACTGATATATTATGATAACTTTCAGCTTTGTCTCACCTCGTGCAGAATTGTTAAATTATTTTTCTAACCACTTTATAAAAAATATATGCCTAGCCTTGCTGTTGTGGCTAGTCACTGACTATATAAAAGAGGTGTTTTATGAAAAAAATGATTTATCTCCATGTCTCAATAATACTCTCACCTCAGCTCAATCAGGTTTTGTGTTGGGCCACAAGGATGGCTGTGGGCTGAACTAAGCAGCTTCTCAGAGGCAGAAGAATGGTAGTGGCTGGGCACTTGTATTGGGRCAGTGGCCTTGGCTGCAGAAGGGGCTGCTTTCAGCAGGGCTCTGATTTCCAGATTTGAGCCTTCCAGGCCRCACTAAGGTGATGGAGGAACATCCTGGTGCCTGTACTTCTAGGGTATGTTTAACCAGAGACATGGCTGTGCAGAGGTGGTGAGTGCAACAAGGAGCTCCTATTAAAGCAAAAAGATACTAGAAGAGTGGAGTCCTAATTTGACAACTGAAGGCCCTCAGAAATGCTATATAAGTAAATAAAACCCAGGATGCTCTTGGAAAGAAAATATGCTCTGAAACAGAGCTTCTTTAAAAAGCTGATTACAGTCATGGATGACTAATCGTTGGAGTGAATTGAGCAAACGTCCTGTGATGGTGATGGTCATTCATGATTATGGTCTCAGTGTGGCCCAGTGGCACTGAGAAAATGATTCAGTTCATATATTTTCAGGAAGCATAATACAATATAAAATGTGACACTTTAACCATAAAGACAAGTACAGAAAAACAGTATGTGATGCTATTTTGTCATATTTGCTTAAAGAAAAGTCATACAAAATAGAGGAAGCTGGTTTTGTGTGCCTTTTTTTGAGAAATCATAATGCAGGGTTTTCCTGTATTTATTTCAAGACTCCAGTCTTGTGCATTAGATTTCATCAGAACTGCTTCTGTTTCTATTTCTGCTTCTGTTTAAAGATTTATTATAATGTTTTTGCCATAGGGATCATCTAATAATTCTGATTTATATAAGGAAAACTCAAGATACTCAGCTTTCCTTTGAATAATTTTAACATACTTAATCTAGCAATTTTCCAAAAAGGTAAATCCAGTACTGTAGTCTAAAATGCTATCAATGTCACCTTGTTGAGAGTTCTGCAAAGGCAGATACCGTGAGAAATTGCTGTTAAGATGCTGAAATGTGTTTGTGGTACATGTATGAATTCAAGGCCTAAATGTATAAAATATGAAAAGTGTTTCATTTTGACAAACATGTGTGTCCTGTGTTTGTATGTATCCAAAAAAAAAAAAAAAAAARATTACTCTCAAACATGAGGTTGAATACAACAGTTCACTGTTGCGATGAGCATTTTAAGTCATTTAAGGGAGAAAAAAATACATCTGTTTGAACATTAACTCCATTATCACATTATCAGGACAACACTTTTAAACTTGCTGATTGACAGAGATATGAAATGACAAGCATTTGTGTGACAAATCTAAATCTTTTGCTAACAGACGTGTTTTAATGGAGCTAAAAGATTAAGGTTTGGAAAAGGTTCTTTTTATCTTATGAAATGAAAGCTTTTGATAAATGTAAATGGATTCAAAAAGACTTCCATCAAGCCCTTTGGGGGGAAAAATAATAATTGTATGCTTTTAAAATATTTGTATTTATGTTTCAGAATTCATTTTATGCTAGTTTTGATTTAATCGATTTTTTGTTGTTGTTGTTGTTATTGTTGTCTTTGTGTTCCTAACAGGTTGTGAATTGGCTTGAAGGACCTGGATCAGAACAGCTAAGAACCCAGTGGGGAATCGGTGATTCGATTAGAGCCTCGCAGGCTTTGCAGCAGAAGCAYGAAGAAATCGAGAGTCAACACAGTGTGAGGCTTCCCCTACCCTCTTCAAGTAGCAAAAGAGTTCTAAGTACAGGAAACTATATACAAAGTATTTCGGTCCCAAATACCTAAAAATTGAGGGGAGTGTATGGTGATATGGGTTACAGAGAAGCACAGAGAAGTTTAAGTAAAGTTAATGTTTGCTGCATATCAGTRTTTTTTTCTGGTGTAGAAAGATACTTTTGTGTGTGATTGGTCTTGTTTTTGTTGCATTATAACAGTTATTAAATTTCACTTTTAAATAGGAGGWGTAAATTTCCTTTCAGCCATTTGGGTAGAGAGAAGAACTCCCTTTACTTCTCCAGGGAATAAGTTAACATTGCCCTTTTATTAAGTTACATTAAGCAAGCTTCAGCTCTCTGCAAATGCTTCCATTGATTCTAAACTTAAAGTATAGGTAGAATAATGCAATTTTGAAGATACTGATTTATAAACTGTTTTAACTTTCCAAGAGTTAGTAGAATTAGATGCTTTATTGTAACAAATTTGAATGCTCCCTGTTCTGAAAGGCCAAGTTATCCTGAGGGTGTTTCCTCTYGTCAGACTTTCTCAGTGCAGACACTGACAATTCAAACAGCATTTCATGAGCTCCCTTTCCAGTCATTTTTCTTYATTATATATTTTTGTTTTATGTTTTCYCTTTTTCATTTGATGTGTTCATCACATCATCATCTAAATACTAGAGATACTATTTAGGACAAATATTGGTYTTCATGGTTTTAAGCTTTCCTCTTGTTGCTGTGTCTAACTAGGAGCACAGTTCCATATTATTATCCTGTTGATAATGCAAAAAAAGTCAAAAGTATGTTTTTTATTTTTGATTTCAGTCTCTTAATTTCAAAACTATTTTGCTGAAAATTAACTATTGTAACTGTTGATTTTAATGATAAAAATGCTATTTTATTGACTCTCATGTTATAGTTGATGCATCATACATACAAATCAACCTTACTGAGTGTGTCTAAAGATAATGGGAGTTATTTGTTGCTCTTATATAACTGGCATGTATTGAACCCATAGATCTACAGTACAAATGCAAGGTTGTTTCCCCCTACMCACCCAATCTCAAGTGCTCTGGTTGGAATAGATGAGATGCTCAATTTCTTCTCTTTGCAGACAGAAAGGTTTAGAGTAAACAGGAAAAAAAACAGAATATGCATATTTATACTCTGCATTTTGCATGCTTTGTAAAGCTTAAGGCATAATTTTAAAAAATTGCAAACATCCTAATTAGAGAGTGACAAGTGTGCTAATTAAATTAGCTACTTAAGGCCAATAGATGGTGCTATTCAGTTGCATTAGAGATGCATAGGGCATTTGAAGGTCATTGAACAGGAGCCAAATGAAAGCTGTTGAACAGACGTGTTTTGCTTTACAGGTTTGTATGTCATGCAAGGTGTGAATTTGATCTTGCGATATCAAGTAGTTTCCATATGTCCCAGAATGATAAATTTTCATACCATATTTTTGCAAGTACACGACCATGACAGCATTACTAAACTCTGCAGTTTGTTTTCAGTAATCATATATTTGAAGATGAATTTTACATATTTTGAAATTAACAGTATAAATCTTAAATAAGAAAYAACTTTCTTCAAATAAGAAACAAGGTCATTAATAATAATAATAAATTTCAATAAATTTCCCTTTTTGGATATGCTGTTTTATTCAGAGGATAGAYGTTACCTTTACTTTAACAGTAGTGCTTTTTCCCCAAACAGTTAAGAAATTTAGTGCCAGTTTAATAATATTTTAAAGCTTAATTTTCTTGTGTTTTTAGGAATGGTTTGCTGTTTATGTTGAGCTTAATCAGCAGATTGCAGCCCTTCTAAATGCCGGGGATGAGGAGGACCTTGTGGAGCTGAAGGCGCTGCAGCAGCAGCTGAGCGACGTGTGTTACCGGCAGGCCAGCCAGCTGGAATTCAGGCAGAACCTGTTGCAAGCAGCACTGGAGTTCCACAGTGTTGCCCAAGACGTGAGTTTTTGTCTTTAGCTTTTACTGTCGATATCTTACTGTCTTAATATTAAAAGTATTCAAAATAATGGAAAAGATTTAGCTGGAAGAAAGCTGTGAGTCTGGAAAATAATGCTTTCTTCAGTCCGTTTATATTACAAGCGTACGCATTGTCTGTGCCAAAAGATGATACACGCTTCATAGCTTCTTTTTAACAAACTGGTGTTCATCTTTTTACTTATCTAATGACTTCCGGATTGTTAGTGGGGTTTTTTTTGTTTGTTTGCTTTGTTTCCCTCTAGGGATTTTTGCCCYTAGAACGCGTATAAGCAGAGGGGTTGGTTATTTTTCATCTTGACTTTTTGAATGGTAGAGATGCAAAGAGAAACTTCAAAATGAGAGTTTCTCAAACATTTAGCAAGATGAGCACAAAAACCTATAAAGACAAAACTTTCTAAATGTCATTATTTAACCTTTGGATATGCTGGGAGGAGGTGAGGGGACACAATCTTGATTATACTGTTTATGTACAAAGTAGTATATAAAACTAGGACAGGATCTTGGCTATTTAATTTCTTAGAGCAGTGAACTAATTAAAGAATGCTGGCAGGAAAAAAACGGATACAATTTATCCTTTTTTTTGTACATGATTTAGTTGTCTCAGCAACTGGATGGCTTGCTAGGAATGTTGTGTGTAGATGTAGCGCCAGCAGATGGGGCTTCAATTCAACAAACTTTAAAACTGCTAGAAGAGAAGTTGAAAAGTGTTGGTAAGCAAAATATTTCTGTTTCAAGCATACATCTTCTAATAAATGCATTATAATGAGGGGGGAAAAGTAATGTCTACCTCTTGTGGTTCTTGCAAAATAATGCCTTGCCATCAGACTTACTTATGCTTAAAATCTGGGAAATGTTCTGAAAATGTTGTCTTTTAAAGGTTTTGTATATATTATAAACATTTTTTACATACAATTAGCATGCTTTGCCTTTCTAAACACACCTCGGAGGCATCTTCTGTTTTTATTACACAATTCTTTAAATAATCTTTTCTTTCTCTTCCCAGTAGTGATCCTTGGATGAATAAGATAATCAGCTGCTTGGTTTAGACTACTTGTATTACACATTTTTCTGTAGCATTGGATGTGTGTTTTATTAAAAGTAATACTTTCTTATATTTTCATGTGTATCCTGTAGGAGAAAGAGCTGTGAAGTAAAACATATATGGTTGAAGTAATTGTACTTGTGATAGACTACTGCATAAGCTAGATACTCCTTCAGGGGAACAGATAGTAGACCTGCCAGATAATAGATGCAAGAACAGATTTTTAAGGATCGGCATATTGGTACAGAAAAAYGTGTCAGCCATATGAGATGTATCGTAAAATAGTAATTTCTGCTATGAAAGAATGCTTAGGCAGCAACTGCCTAGAGGTGATAAATATTTTAAGTATCGGGCAACTGTGTGGAAGAAAAACGTTAATTAGCTATTAATATGCTGAAAATTTATCACTGTCAGCTTTCATTTACTTCCTTTTTATCTGCTAGATCATAAAATGGCAAAGCCTGTAGAATATTTTTTTTCTTTTGCTTTAGACTCAGGCTTGCAAGGCTTGCGTGAGAAAGGTCAAAGTCTTCTTGATCAGATATCTAATCAGGCATCATGGGCCTATGGAAAAGATGTAACCATTGAAAACAAAGAAAATGTGGACCACATCCAAGGAGTGATGGAAGATATGCAACTTAGAAAACAAAGGTAGTAACAACACTCCTAATTGTTAGGGCTTTCTGTGAAGATTTTACTGATAGTTTGCTTTAAAAAGGAATTTTTAAAGAGACAATTTTATCTTCAGTTAAGGGATGGAGTGGAGATATAATTTACTGCATTTGTAGTATAGTTAAATGCAAGTGAAGCTTTTTCTCTTCCTTGCTTGCCCTTGCTTTGTATGAATTTGTGAGCTGGAACTTGTGTGTAACACTGAGAAGATAGGTAGCTGAAGCCAATGAAGTTCACCTCAGCTAAACAGAATCTATACATTTTTAATGCTATCGCTCTAGTATCCCTCAAGTGGTAAAAAGAAATTGGAATGCTAGAGTCTTACTAGGTTTGTAAAAACTGATTTCTGTGCTACTGTTTAAGGTGCGAGGATATGGTAGACGTGCGTCGACTAAAGATGCTTCAGATGGTGCAATTGTTTAAATGTGAAGAAGATGCTGCTCAGGTATGAGAAGGGCTGCACAACTGCATTTTACTGAAAAAATTCATGGGGTTTGGCATTATTTTTGTCACTTTGAAATGTAGTTTTATTTAAGTGAATTTGTGGATTGAAAATGCAAAAAGAAATAGCAGTAGACTGAAAATAGTGCATTTAGTGATTTTATGCATGAACAATTAAACTGGTTGATACTTTTTRTTTGGGAAAAATAGTTATGTCAGTATTGTTGTTGGTTCACCACCAACATAAATTTCTTATTTTGGTATAGAAACTGTTTCATTTGTAAAATATTCTTTTCCCTTTAAGGCTGTAGAGTGGTTAAGTGAATTGCTGGATGCTCTGCTCAAGACGCATATCCGTTTGGGAGATGATACTCAAGAAACTAAAGTTTTACTGGAGAAACATAGAAAATTCGTTGATGTTGCACAGGTGAAACGAATGACTTTTTTAATCTAGAAATTTGAATTTTGTGTTGTTTCAGAAGAGATTCCAAATAGGATTGCTGCCCTGTATATATACTGAACCACTGTTAACTAATTGTCTTCATAGTTTACCTTAATGTTTGAATGAAGAAATGCAGTTTGCTGGAACTGGTCATTAGATTAACAAGATTTTGCCAATAGTGACACTGCGGTTCTGTCACCTTTAGTTTGCTTTGCCTATATATATATAGTCAATGCAAACCAAGAACATAAGTTTGACAGTGACTTTTCTTAAAGGCATGTATTTCAGACAGTCTTTGTAATGATGCTTGAAATATTGCCACAAAGATTATGAAAAATGAGTAAACTGCTTGACTTCAGTCTGTTTTCTGTTATATGTTATGAACCAGAGCCTGCCTTTCATTTGGTTGTCCAGATCAAGTTGACTATCAGAGTTTGTTAGCCCTGCTCATGCAGGGAGTCCTTTGTACTAGTAGAGTTAGGGATAGAAGAGGAGTAACTTTCTTGGCTGTATCAGCCAACTAAAAAATCCTGTTGTACAGAAATGTACTGAAATTCAATTCATTAAAGCTTTGCACACTTGTTTGCAAACCTTCGATAGGCAAAAGGAGTATGTGTAAGTTGCATCTTCTCCAGGTACATTTTCAGATGCTTGCTGTTATTTAGGAGCATCTAGTTCAGCTTTGCCAATTAACAGATGTGTTTCTCTCCCCCACCACTTCCAGAGTACTTACGATTATGGGAGACAGTTACTGCAGGCTACAGTTGTGCTGTGCCAGTCCCTGCGATGCACTTCGAGATCCTCGGGGGACACCCTCCCGAGGCTGAACAGAGTGTGGAAGCAGTTCACATTAACCTCTGAGGAAAGAGTACATAGGCTGGAAACTGCTGTTGCATTTCATTCAAGTGCTGAAAAAGTGAGTGGGATAAGAAAAGTAGCATAAAAATTTAAGCAAAATTTAAGCATGATTTAATAAAAATATGTAAGAAAATTTTCCAGCGCATATTTTTGACTTTTTAAATGTTAAAAGAAAGAATAGGAATTTAACAAATAGAATTCTTGCATAAGAATTATGTTACTAATTATAAGACTTTTTCAGTACTTTATTATTTGCCCATAATAAATTGTTTTAGGGACTGTGTAACAAAAAGGAGAATCATCTCAAACAGATGATATTGAGTTGGAACTGGATAATTTTTTTTTAAAAACTGTTAATAGCGAGACATTTGTTTAGACTGCAATTGCTAAAAGCAAGAAAGATTTGTGTTTTTATGTAAGATATAATACAGAGTTTTGATAACTGCTTAAGAATTTTGCCAACTTGAAAGCAACAAATTGCTTATAATGTAATCTTCTGAGAAGTTGTGTAGGTGTATGAAACTCTCAAACATTTTGTTTTCTTACATGCTGAAATGCTACACCTTTATTTTACACTTGGAACTTGCTTTCTTCCGAGCACTCCCCTATCCGTGTGTGGTTTTCACGTTCCTCTAAGCGCACCCAGCTGATGTTGCTTGAAGCCACAAAGAAGGAGGAGTGGTCAGCAACAATGTTGAGGAAAACTTGCTGCTCAGTAGCTTTTTACTGAAGGGAAATGCCAGGAATTAGCAAATACCTGAATTCCAGAAAGCATCTTTGACTATAGTTCATGGAAGGCTTGACCTTTTGGTATCAGAAATATTTTTTTCTCTGTGTTTATAAGTAATAAATATTAGAAAAGCAATTTAGGGCATTCATCTCCAATGTCGACAACATTATCATTTAGAAAAATGCAGCCTTGAATACAGTAAAAGTTAAAAAAAAAAAAAAAAAAAAATGTTGTTAAAGAAGAGCATAGATGAAAAGTTTATTGATATGCTCCTTCATTCCTTTCTTGATTGTATTAATTGACTTCATGAGAATTGAAAGTTGCTGGAGGTTCATAAAAGCAGAAATCATTTGTGCTGCCAAAGAGCTGAAAATAGTCTTACCTAACACTAAGTCTCGATTGTCTCAGTCCATATTACAAGCATTCCTTCCTTATTACAGTAGTTAATTGCTCTATTCTTAGGCAGACATAAATAAAAACAAGTGGATGCTTGAAAAAACTGTTTTGTCCAAAAGTGTAATTCTGCTGCACTATTTTTGCATATTAATTAGTTTGCATATTAGTTTGCATATTAATTTTTGATCATAAAGTGCATGCTTCCATAATTGGAGGGGAAATGAAAAAGGAGGAAAAAAAAAGAGCGCATTTGGAAGAAAGTATAATATTAACCACTAATATCATAGAATCATAGAATGCCGAAGGTTGGAAGGGACCTCAGAGGTCATCGAGTCCAACCCCCCTGCTCACGCAGGGTCACCTAGAGCACGTGGCACAGGGCTGCATCCAAGCGGGTTTTAAAGATCTCCAAAGAAGGAGATTCCACAACCTCTCTGGGCAGCCTGTTCCAGTGCTTTGTCACCCTCACAGTGAAGAAATGCTTCCTTAAGTTCCTGTGGAACTTCCGATGCTTCAGTTTGAAGCCATTTCCTCTAGTCCTATCCCTGCTCACCACTGAAAAGAGGCCGCCCCCCTCCTCCTCACTGCCTCCCTTGAGGTATTTATACACGCTGATCAGGTCCCCCCTCAGCCTCCTCTTCTCCAGGCTGAACAGACCCAGCTCTCTCAGCCTCTGCTCATAGGGCAGATGTTCCAGGCCCCTGATCATCCTCGTAGCCCTGCGCTGGACTCTCTCCAGCAGCTCCACATCCCTCTTGTACTGGGGAGCCCAGAACTGGACGCAGTACTCCAGATGTGGCCTCACCAGGGCTGAGTAGAGGGGGATGATCACTTCCCTCGACCTGCTGGAGACGCTTTTCTTAATGCACCCCAGGATCCCGTTGGCCTTCTTGGCCACCAGGGCACACTGCTGCCTCATGGTCAACTTGTCGTCCACCATGACACCCAGGTCCCTCTCTGTGGGGCTGCTCTCCAGCAGGTCCACCCCTAATCTGTACTGGTGTCCAGGGTTATTCCTCCCCAAGTGCAGGACCTTGCACTTGCCCTTGTTGAACCTCATGAGGTTTCTCGCCGCCCAGTCCTCCAGTCTGTCCAGGTCCCTCTGGATGGCAGCACAGCCCTCAGGGCTATCAGCTACTCCACCCAGTTTGGTATCGTCGGCAAACTTGCTGAGGGAGCACTCCAGCCCTTCATCCAGGTCGTTAATGAATAAGTTGAACAGGACCGGACCGAGAACTGACCCCTGGGGGACACCACTAAGTACAGGCCTCCAGCTGGACTCCGCACCATTGACAACCACTCTCTGCACCCTGCCATCGAGCCAATTCCTAATCCACCTCCCCGTCCACTCATCTATCCCACACCTTCGGAGCTTGCCCAGGAGGATGCTGTGAGGGACAGTGTCAAAAGCCTTGCTCAAATCCAGATAGATGACATCCACCGCTCTGCCCTCATCTATCCAGCTAGATATTCCTTCGTAGAAGGTGATCAGGTTAGTCAAGCAGGATTTCCCCTTGGTGAATCCATGCTGGCTACTCCTGAGCACCTTCTTCTCCTCCATGTGTCTGGAGAGAGCAGCCAGGATGAGCTGCTCCATCACTTTCCCGGGGATGGAGGTGAGGCTCACCGGCCTGTAGTTACTYGGGTCCTCCTTCTTGCCTTTTTTGAAGACTGGAGTGATGTTGGCTTCATATGGGTCCAGCTCCATCACAGAAAGATTTGCAATCATTTTTTGAACTCTCATTCACTGTGTGAATTCATTGCAGGATATGGTTTTTAGTTTTGAGATGGCTTGAAAGGGGCTCTTCATTATTCATGTTTTTCTGTTTCACATTGCTGTCTTGCATTTTTAATAATGCAGGTTATTTATTGTTGGAATAGCAAGACTTCTAGCAAGACCTTATTCTTTTCTTCTTCTTTGTACTCACTTAGSAGTAATACAAAATACATTGACACAGAATAGCAGCTGCCTTGGCTCATCTTCTCAGAATAGCTGAACCGATCTCACTCTTCAAATTTATGAATCTGTTTTGATTGTTGAAGACTGATCTCATAAATGAAGTGCTGAAGATGCTGGAACAGCTTTCACTGTGACACTTAATAGCACTTTAAAAACTAGCTGCTATCTTTTGTGTACTTCAGTCTGTTCCCTTATTGTTTTACAGATTTTGCAAGAATGTCCAGAGCAGCCTGAAGCTCTTAATGAAATGGAACAATTCGATGAAATTGAAGCTGTTGGGAAATCGCTGTTGGACAGACTAACAGTGCCTGTAGTTTATCCTGATGGGTGTGTAAAATGTTACTGTAATACCTTCTAAATGTGCTTTTGGTCAAGTTTCATAGTAGTCTCATAATGTGCCTAAGAATTATGAATGTTTATTGCTGGAATTGAACAGGTAGGATTAGTGCACTAATTCTCATTAAGAATTTTTCCCACTTTTTTACAGAAAGCAGACAGGTCCTTTCTCAAACTTGCCAAAGACAATACGCCTGCTTTTCCAATTTTGTGATTTTTTTCAGTCTTAGTAATTACTAGGTTTATACAGTCTTTACAATGGTGAAGTATGTAAAGACAACAGAACAACAATCTGATCCTCTTCTCTCTTGAAACCTGTATCAGGCTTACATGATTTTATTGTATGATTAATATATTCCAAATTACACCTATCTTAGATTATGAGCCTATACCTTGAGGGTAAATTTTAATGATTTATTCAGCTTTAAAACAGTACCTCTGTCACAAGTTATTCATACCAAATGAAAAGTGATTGCTGTCTCAGACAACAAAACCTAAACTGAACTTGTATTCTTGGTCATGATAATATTGTTCTCTATGTACAGTGAAATACACTTTGCCCAGCGGGATGTTTAAGTTCCAAATTGATTTCTTTTAACTAGATATAATCAAGCCTTGGAACTAGGCTCTGGATGTGTATATTTTATTCCTTACACAATGACTAATGAGTCACCTGAGAAGACAAGACTAGTGACTAAAATAATAGTGATGTTTTCCATATGCTGATTGACTGCTCTTCTGCCAGAAGTTACGAGGCGCTTGTCTGGCTCCTGTTGCAGCAAAGTCTGGTTCTTCACTTCTGCTGCGGGTGTTGAAATGCAGGAATCAAAGGACTGAAAATATTAGAAAGGCTGATTGCCTTATGTGTTTTCCGAGTGTTCCTTGCCAGTCTTTCCCTTAGATTTTTTTTTTACTAACAGCTGTCATGTCAGCTACTCAGTAAGTTGCAGTTTTTTGGTGCTCTCTTGATGAGCTATGATCCCAGTTATCCTGACCTTCAATATTACACGTCTGTGATCAATCTCAGACTTGACTGTGACTTTCCTGAATGCTGTGGACTATTCCTTCAGCTCATCATGAGTGTAAAGCTCATCACTTGAGAAAATGCTTCTTGCTACTATTTGGTCTTTCCATTTCTAGATTTAAAAATTTTTAGAATGACATTGTGAATATTTCCTAAAAATGAATGTATTTTCTGTTTTCAGCATGCTTTGAAATAGAAACAAGGACATATTTTGGAACATAAGCAAATGCAATCTAAACAGTCATATTTTAATCAAGCTTGTTTATCTCTCTTTTGCTTTTCTGTTTATCAGAAACACATGCACTCTCTTAGACTGAGTGAGTGCATACCTGATGTAGTGCTGGATAGTTTTGTCTTGCTTATGAACCTTGCCATACACTACATAAATATTTTATTTGAAGAAGTCTTCTTTTCTACTCTTGAAGACAGTTTTATCCTGTGTTTGCATAACTGCGGATTAGAGAATACTGTATCTGTCATGCCAGGGAGTAGAAAATCTTTTCTCTGTAGAAATGGTATTTTTCTGATGAACAGAGCCCATTGGTAATGCCTCATGAAGGTGTTCTCTTGCACTACTGTTAGTGTTCTTAATAGGTTTAAATCTTAATATTTTTAAATACAATGTCATTCTCTTTAAGAATAGGCAGTAATTTTGTCATATTTCATTTTTAAAGGGACGGTATAACCAYAAACTGTACTTTTTCCTGAATATATCTTTAAATTTACAGTCTAATATATAGCATCCAGCCCATCTTGTGATACATATTTTTTTTTAATTTATTGTAGATGAATAGTAGAAGACTATTAATGCACAGCTTTGCTATTTTCTGGTAGCACTGTCAGTGTACTGAATATTTTACTACTGCCTCAACAGGTCTTTCTCCCTCTGGTGAAATTTTTGTCATTTATTTTTTCAAGAAGGCGAGATACATTAATATCAGTACAGTGCATTGCATGCAGTTGATACTCTCCGACCATGTGACTTGAAGCAACTAGTCTGTACTTTTTCCCTAAAAGTGGTATACGTTTATGGTAGGGATGGTAAAAGAGACTTCAAGGATGCCATCAATATTGGTTTTTAGATGATAAATTCAAAATGTTGTTACTTAGTGATTTGATTATTCAGAGAGGTAGCACTTAAAGAAAAACTGCCCTTTCAGTAGTGCATTTGAAAGTAGCCATAGTGTTTCAGGCTGTGAGAAAAGAACTCACAAGTGTGTTGTGTTTGTTTATATTTAAAACTTTTTATAGTAGATTTTGCATATATGGTGACACAGTAAAAATAGTAGCTGCTATTCTAAAAATTATTTACTTTAGTAGACTGTTGGAGGAAAACCAAATGTCAGTGTTCTGCAGAACTTACCTTGGCACCAGTTAGACCCTAGGAAAGCTCCTTGTAAAAGARCAAACTTGCTGCACTGCTGAGTTTTGAGTCCTAARCCAGTGCTCAATGCAGGCATGAAGCACAAGAGCTCTGGGTACCTGCCTGTGTTCTAGGCTGCCTCACTGAATCCTGAACAGTATTTTTGCTGGAATTTCTTCATCTGAATTCTGCCTGTGCCTTCTTTCTCAGAAGTGGAATTTTAGATGTCCTAACTCCAAAGATCTCATGCTGATCCTCCCTGGGCATTCTACTCTTTGCAAATTGCTTTTAAATATTTAAAAACGGTTTGCTCATTAGTAGAAGTYGTGTAAGAAATACAGGGAAACATCCAAACMTTGTACAGTGCCCACAGAYGTACTTCTTCATTAGCCTCTTCACCATTCTTGGGCTTTACTGAATTCTTCTAGGAAGGTCAGATCCCCCTCCCTGTCCTGCTCATGGCTTCTGGACTGTGTAAGAAAAAAAAMGTGTGGCCCTTTTTGTGATCATGCACACAACTGGTCTCTTCCTGTGCAAAATACTGATGTTCCGGTATCCTCATCTTCTGTGTCTCTCAAGTTTCTGTCCTACTGCTATTTCCCAAGTCTGTTCCCTCTGTGCATTGTAAGAAGGTTTGGTGCCTGTTCTCCTCCTTTTGAAACATTTATTTTGTTCATATCSTGCTTTTGCTGACAAGGTGGTTCATGGTTTCCCCAACCATGTTATTTTGTTATATTTGAGCAAGCTTGCTTGTCTTCAGTTTGGGTGAAAGATGATGTAACTTGATGGGATGTGTCTGTCACACAGAGATTGTTCAACCTCATTCAGAATTCATGGATAGATAGACATCCATCATTGTCATGGTACTCAAACTGGCAGATTGGCTTGTAGGCAGCCAGAGAACAGAGGTACAAATAGTACTGGGAAATCTTCATGGAAGTTTTTCACCAGGATTTGACTGTTCTGAAAATTCAGAGAAACTTTTGGGTGCGAAAGGATAAATTATTTACATTAATTTTACCAAGATGTGACAAATTTCATCATTGTTATGTCTTCAAAGCTTCTTTAAAGGTGGCCTTTAAACCTCAAGAGAAAAAGTGCCTATTTTTCTACACTGCTTCTTGTTTCTAGAGTTTGATATTTATATGTATATTTGTGCACTGATAATTTTTTTTCTTTTTTTAGTTCTGAACAGTACTTTGGGAGCCCAAGTGATATGGCTTCTGCAGCAGAACACATCAGAGAAAAGATGAAGCTAGTTAGCCTGAAAAAGCAACAGCTGAGACAACCAGAAGCCACTACGCCAGAGAGCTAATAGACTGACCCTTGTCTATCAATTCATCATAGGACTTCAGTTTGTAATCCAGCATGTTGTTTGCATATTACAGAATTTGGCATAATATATTAAAATGCATTTCACAGCCGTTAAAAAAATTCTTTATTTCAAATTAAATGTTCTCAGTATCTTAACACTGTACATCTATCAAGCCATAATTATTTAACATGCTATGAAACCACAGATTCCAAGTATCTTATGAAAAGGAGCTGTAAACTTTGCACTGAAATTTGCTGTAAAGCTTTACCTGACCTGTCAGCTGCTTCTTAGTTAAACAGCTGATGCAAGCTTTGAATGGTGCTAAAGAAAGYATTAGGAATTCCACCTTAAAAAATTGTAGCTCTTTGCTTCCTCTGTCCCCAGGTGATGTAGTCATTTTAGACTGTGGGCAAGTACCTGCAGTGTAGACAGTGGTGACCTTATAATTTTAATTTGAAATAATTAAAAAAAAAAAATCATTTTTATTGTGCCAGTATGCAGCCTATCCATCAAATCTTTGATATATCAAATTCATTAAACAGATGGTTTTCCTATTTGTATTGATAATGTATTAAAAGCTGTTTGTGCTTAATAAAAATCATCTTTTTAAAATCTAATATATATTTGTTTTGGCTTGTATTCTCATTCATGTTACACTCTGTGATAAATGGTAGTAAAAACCCTTCAATCTTGCAACATATTTACAATGTGTGTTTTGTTTTTCTTATMAACCAAACTGTTTAGTACCTTGTAGCTATAAATGGAAATGTTCTCAAACTATTATGGGAGTGGGAAGCCACTGTATTTTTTCTGACTTTCTGATAACAGTCCTCGCCCCATAGTGTGTTGGTATGCCCATAAGTCACCGTTAAACCAGTAACAGCTTTGTTCCCAGGTAAGATCAGCATGCATCTCTTGTGCTTTGTTTTAAAATGTTATTTCCATTTGAATGCAGAWCTTGAATAATGTGCTACCCATGGGTGCTGCCTTTGAGGATAAAGATTTTCATCTAATTAAAAAGAGCTAATGTAAAGTTCTTAACTTAAAACCATGATATTAGTAATAAAGTGAGATTTAAGAGAAGGCAGTTGGACTGAAAAAAAAGTCAACTGTGCATAATTAAATTAATTTCTTATTCTTAAGGATTTAATTTCGATAAACTTACCATGTTATTTTCTAGAAGATTGTGTCTTATCTGACCATTTTCAAATACTGTCTGAAACAGAATAGATTTAAGTATATTTGGTATCCCACTATATTTTGCTCCCGGTCAGCGTAATGCTCCGTTCTTGTAGATATTACTGTTACTTACTTTTCACATTTTCTGGATAGCTTTATCATTCAAATACAGATTTGTCTTTGATTTTTYGATTTTTCTGCACAGAACAGTGATGTGGCAATGATTTCTCTATTAAAAATATTCAAACTTGATACTTAAGGTACGTTGGAAGAAAGACTCTTGTATTTTAATATTTTAGATGTTATGGTATAATACTGCTCTAATGATATAGTTGAAAATGAACTGAAGTTTTATAGACCTTACTTCTAAAGACTCTTTTTATATAAAACATCTTAACCTTGCATTTAATTATTCAATTCCTTGTGAGATTGCAGCTTATGCAATGACTAATATTTAGATAGGCTAATATATAGATAGTGTAAATATAAAAGTAAATCAAGACTATAGTCATTAATAAGTACTGTCTCTACTTGTACAGTGTTTATTTAGAAATAGATTCCCAATAAAATAAATAATGGTCTGCAGTGTAAAATCTTGTTAAAATGTTAGTTTTCAATGCACAAGTATGTTATGAACCCGCAGCTTTTGTCAGGTTTCTAATTCTATTTTTATTTTGTTCAGGGTCTGAGTAGCATGGTTACAGAGTAAAAATATCAAGTACTTGTTCATAGGACGCTCTTTTTTTTTTTTATTTCCAGCGAGGAACACAGCTGGGAATAAGATGGGGACAGGATTTTTCTACTTTGGAGGTAAAGTGACATCTGGAGTAAAGAAAAATAAGTAGTGAAAGCGTGAGTAGATCCTGATCACAAGGAAATACTACTGAGGTTCAGCAGTAATGATTGTAACTTGTTTGTGCTGCCTCCTGCTTCTGAATACTTTCTATCCTGTAAATTCTACAGGATAATTTTAATCTGTAGGGGGAGGGTAATGCATAGGATGAACTCAGTACCTAAAGGAATTAGGAAGGCAAAAACTTGATGATTTTTTGTACATTGTTTTGAAGCSTTTGTCCCTGAAGCCTTTATCCATCAACTCTCTCCAGCCTCTTGTAACAACTGGAAGGGAGTCAGTGCTGTAAGAAGGGCTTATGTTAGATTTCTGTTCTCATGTGAAGAAACTAAAGCTGAGAAGAAAATTACTTTTTTTGTTGTTGCAGGTAGTAACCGTACAGTCATCTTAAAAGAAGTTTAAGGATTAAGCATGCTTTTTAAATGTATAGAGCTTAAATATAAATATGGCTATACATGTTTGCAAGTTTCTTAGCTCTTCTGCAGTTTGTTTTTGATTTTGATTACTGTTAGATGATATGGATGCGAGCTCCTGTTAGGAAACATCTAATGTGCTTCAAATTAGATGTAAAGAGAAGGAACACTATGCATATCTAACAAATCCTTCTCATTTATTAAGTTCAAACACCTGTGTATAAAACTTCTGAGTAGGTCTGGTATGAATATTATTAATTTCTAAAGCTTTCTTTATGAGGGCTGATTTAGCTGCAGGCCATCTGTCAAACTTCCACAGTTAACCGTGCACATTTGGCTGCATGTGACCCAAATGATCTGAAGGACTGCTTGGTGCAGCTTGCCACAACGTGGTCCGTGCTGTGAAAGTGTAAATGCTTTGAGCTCTTTGGAGGACCTAGCCATTATGTATGCCATGTTGTTTTGTTTCTGCTGTACTACTGTCCCTACCAGAAAACAACATTATACTTACATTAAGTAAACTGGAAAAAGACTTGTCCTAGAACATGCACAATTAGATGTTTGGGTATGATATAAATATTTATGCATAAGTAAAAAATATAGATATAAATCTATTTATAATATAATTGTTTAGGCTAAGTCTGTGACAGCTCCATGTAAAAGAGGCTGAAGAACTGTGAGGTAGAGAATCTTTGGCTTGCTATGAATGTGGTATAAATGCTTGCCACACGGTATGCTTACAGTTTCAGCTTGAAATACTCCACTGGACCATATTCAAAATTTCAAACCAAGCCTTCATTCTAAACTTTTACACTTAAAGCCCTCGTAAATAATGGTCACAGTTGGAAAAGATGGAGTGACTGTTCTGTGCACCATATTCTTCAGCTCTAGACCCTTCCTGCCATGGGAACACACATTCAACAAGAGTAAGTAGACATCTAGGTAGAYGTTGCATAAAAGCAAATATTGTAGGATCTGAGGTAGGTCAATCTAAGGAAAAGGTTATGGTGGTAGGCAGATATGTAACAGCACGTGCAAAGGAATGTTGCACGCAGACCAGGACTTGTGCTCTGCTGATGGTGATTAGGACCAAAGCAGTTGACACAAGCTGTGGCATGAAACATTTAAAATGACACTGGCAAGGAAGCTCTGGGATAGASAGACTGCAGGGTTGTAGTAATTAGAAATCTTCAATAGCAATTGGCAGCAGAATTGCAGAAGTGAATGTACTTTGATCCAGCCTTGTGGATCTTGCCCTATTACATACTTTAATTACATAAGTTAAGCAACTGGCAGATCATTCTTGTATTACTTGTACTCGGGAACCTGAATCATAGCATCACCTTTGAGTTTGCCTCCTCCCACTTTTATTTTCAAAAATAGCTGGCAATTTGATTCATTAATTGGGTAATACAGAATTGAAAGCGTTGTTGAGCTGTTCCACTGATATGATGACAGGATGGGAGCTGTGAGGTGAAATGGAGACTGAAGCTTATCCTAGTGGTTCCAAACCACCTCTCAGAGGAACTGATAGAAAACGCTTTGTTTGAGACACTTCATATCAGAACAAAGCATGAACGAATACTTAGCTCTCAAAACCCCTGATTTCTGTTCACTGACATTCTTCTTGCACAAGTTAATGTGTTAATTTTAGTAATAGAATTTTGAGAAGAGGTTCATTGCATTTTGCCTTGTAACATGTGGATTAATATTTCAGTTCTGCGGGGGGTTTTACTTTTTATATTCACTTTTTATTTTCTCAGCGAGAGTTTCGAACGCTGGGTAAATGAGAGCACATTCCCACTCTCATCGCTGACTTTCCAGGCATGCGTGGATTGCTGATGATCCCCGTGCCTCACGGGATTAGAGCTTGTAGAGTTCCAGTGGGTTGGACGGCACCGCGGAGAAATTTATTTTAAATACTTCATACTGTACCAGGATTTCTTTAAAGCCTTGGCCAGGAGATAAGTGCATTTGATGTTCCCTTCTCCTCTTAAGGCTTTTGGCTATGAGGAGGGTGCGTAACTTCCATTTTGTCAGGCAATTATGCAGCATTGCTGCTTGGTATTATGATTGTGTGATGTGAGCCTGGCTTCTAGAGGGTTTGGAACAAGCCTTATTCAAGCCTGGCAGGCTGTGCTCTCTCTGAAGGTTTCTGTGCAGCTCTGCGTGCTGCTGTTGGGCAAGAGATAACTGAGCTGTGCAGGATGAAGCTCATGCAATGTGTTGTACACGTTCAACTGCTGCTGCACGTATCTGTGGCGATGACGTGAGCACGATGCCCCCCCGCTGTCTGTTTTATATCACTGACTGCTGCTTGGAGCGCAGTCTTSCTCCTCTCAGACACAAACGTGCACAATGAAACAGAGCAATGCGGTCGTCTGTCGCCAGGSTTTTTGTAATGCTTTGCTTGAAATGGCATCAAAAGGCTGTAGTGAATCATGTGCTCAATGAGTTTGTGAGGTTTGCATTTCCACCCATTGTATAGAGCTAATCTGTTAGRTACCTGCTACTTACAGGTATCGTTTCGTGTTGCCTTTCCTCTGCAGGGCTAGTCGTTCATGAAGCCAGGGCTTCTGCTCTTACAGATGACAGAAAGCACATGAAATATTGGGGATTCTACCTGGTATTCAGCATTAGCTCAACCTTCTTTGCTATGTAGATGTACTTGTCTACAGGTTCTTACCAGAGAAATGTTCACATTCCAACCACTGAGCTGACTTTTCTGCTTATAGTTTTGTCAAAGACGTTGTAAGTCAGCCAACAAATGCTTTTAAAGAGATCCTGCAGTAATCCAAAGGAAAAAAAAATCCAGTTTCAGGATATAATATTGGCTACTGCTAGTGAATGGTGGGAAGAGGATGGTGGGTGTGTTCCCTGCTTCACAACACTTGCTAGGAAGATACACATTACTGTCATGCACAGGGGATATAAAAAGTGCAGAACAAAACATCCCCATCTCAGAACACTGTGATAAGGGGTTTTTTTTAATAATGTGTGTG